TAAAATGTTTATTTTTGTCCTAAATATTGGATATCAGAAGCCCATCTTTTCCCAGTAAGATCATAACATCAAAATCAATGTTGATTTAAATTGACAAATAATTGACAAGCGAATTATTGAAATAAAATTGAACCAAATATTAGTCCCGAAATTATCTAGTTTGTGTCTCTTTTACTTAGATAAACAGGAATTTAAATAAGATTTTTATTAGGAATGGATTTAGGCAACAAAATGATGGTTCATAGTAGAATAACTTGTCATAGGTATTATAGATATCTACTCATTGTATCAGAAGATATGATGGGTGGGGGGAAGGAAAGGAAGGGGTTGTTATCGAGCCAAAATAACATATTTGTTGAAAATAATTAGCTTTCCTTTTAATATGACAACAGGTCTGTCCATGGCTTCCCAGAAAAGGATATACCAACAATTTGTATGAAGAGATACCCAAAAAAATCTATTATAAAGTATGTTAGGAACAGATTTGTCGATAGTTTCCTAGTATTGGGGGTGGGGTGGATGGCCGAATGGTTAGCATGTGCGCGCTGTATCATACGGTCTGTCATTGAGTCAACTGGTGGGGTTTCGATTTCCCGGTTGTACGTGACAAGGAGTAGGGTCGCCTATCCAACCTCGTGGGTTTTCTCTGGGTCCTCCGGTTTCCTCCCACTGCTAAAGACCCCTGCGTGCAAGCCAATGATTGAAATAAAATTAAACCATATGTTAGTCCCGAAATGACCTAGTTTGTGTCGAGTGGATGTTAAACCCCATTTCTCTCTCTCTCTCCTAGGATGGGATATGGTAACACATTCCTTAATAAAACTAAATAACATATCAACATGTGAGATATATATATATATATCAATCCCTAATGCCATTACCTATAGTGTTACATACACCTATACAACACAATAAAACATGTAATTGACTAGCTAATTTTCTATTTCAAATGTCAATCAACTGTAATAACAGTATTTTTTGTGCATGATTGACAAATGAATTAAGTTTGGTGTTGGATTTCTCTGTCTGTGTTCACAGTATGTATTGGGATTGTGTTGTTGCTATTGACTGGATTAACTAAGTCTTCTAAGGTCACACACAGGCTAATCTCTGTTAATCTAATCCATGAATTAAGATAACACCAACTGATTTAATCATAAAGAGTGTTGTCAAGAAATAAAAATAATTTGTCATTAATTGAAACAAAATGAACAAATTTAATCAATGATTTTTTTGTTTTCTCTTTAATTTATTTTTTATGTATTTTTTTTACGTTTGATTATTTATCAATTTTTCAGTTATTTTTGTATTTTTTTAACGTTCTTTTATAAATCAATTTTATCAAAGTTAGGGCCTATTTTTGTTATAGATTAACATTTGGCACAATAAAATTCCTCTGAACTAAGCAGTTTGATCATTTGATGAAACTGACTGTTATATGGCTATCAAAAAATAATTGATATATCTATACAGGTTTTCTTCACTAAGTGATCACAATACTAAATTTGTTATATCCATATTTTCATTTTATTTTCAAATTGACTATCATTGGGTCCTTCGGTTTGCTCCCACTGCTAAAGACCCATACGACAAGCAAATTATTTAAATAAATATGAACCATATGTTAGTTCCAAAATGACCTAGTTTGTGTCGAGTGGACATTAAAACCCATTTCTCTCTCTCATTTGGATGTATCACAATATATGATTTTGGATCGCAATACAGAGCCCTCAAATGTTACCATTTACGTTGCATAGTCGCTGCTAGATTTTAACATAACAATTATTAGTTCCAATATTTTTCCTTATTTCTGTTTCAGAACAATAAGGATAAAAAAACGTCCAATAATAAATTTTTCCTTGATAAAATTAATAACGGACAGTAAAGAGAAAACATGCAATATATAATATAAAGATTATCATTATTTAATTTATTTATTGGTTTATGTCTGAGATGAATAATTTATTGTTTCCTTGTTTTGCTTTTGGTCAGTGCAAATTTCCTAAAATTGTGCTCTTAAGGGGGTCTTATGTTGACCTTACAACTGAGAGCAATTGGCTTCAACTGAATGCAACTGAAAGTGCCTCCTACAACTTAATTTTAAAGCAACAAGTTCCAGGATAACGACTGGATGTGCTGTTTCTATATAAATTAATAACTGCTTCTTTAACTAAGTAATTAGTTCTGAAAAAAAGAAAGTAAAACAAGTTTGAGTTGCAGAATTCAAAAGGTTTTAACTCCATTCAAAGACTGGATTTGTTTGTTTTGTTTTTTATTTTTTATAGAATTTATAATAATATTGCTACTTTTGAACTATGTAATTAGTACTTGAAAAAAGAGAGTAAAAAAAACAGCTATTTCTTTTTGAATGGATGAATTGGTTATGAAAATAATGATAAATACTACAGAGTCATGTATTTACCCCCCTGTAGGGAATATTATAAAATTTGTTTAGAAACCATCAACTGGTTAAAGATAACTTCACAGCATGCTAACAAGACAGTCAGATCTCCTTGTCAATCAAACTATCATTGAACCGTGACAAAAGTCATGATAGTATTTGATTGGCTGGTTGTTAACTAGTGGGTGGAGCTGTAAATGTCAATCATCCAGGTCCATGTGTAATAGTAATGTACATCAAGAAACATGTAGTAAGAGAGTCAGTTGTGTGCATGGTGTCAAGTGCTGTGTTATATGGAAAATAATTTGTGTATGTGGATGTTATGAAATATTTTTTACAAGGACTTAACATATTTTGAAGGTGTGTTTCTGTGTAATGTTATATTTGGATATTTCTAATTCTTTATTATTGTGATTGATGAAGCATCAAGAAATGAACTAAAGCACATTGGTAGATTGCATGGCACCAAGAAACTGCTAATTTCATTATGGAATGGACATTCTATTTAAACACTGTTGAATGAGGAATCGGCAATATGTATTAAATATTGATGATTATTCCCATTTTGTTGATTTAACAGTTTTCTATAATAGAAAGCACATTGGTCAATTGTATGGCACCAAATTGCCCAATTTCTTTATGGAACGGATAGTCTGTTTCTTAATATAATGATTGTTTAAAAATACTTTTGCTCTAAGAATCAGGAATATATATTAAATATTGATTGTCACCCATTTAAGATATTTGAGGTGTTTTTGCCTTCGGTTGATTTGACAGTTGCCTGTTTGAAGAACAACAGTGAAATGTTAAAGTCACAAAAATCAAAAGTTATGAACTAGATTTTTGTTTGTAACGTTAGCTGTAGGAGAGATGTTTCAATCACCAACTATTCTGACCATTGGTGTTATATTCCTCATAGTGTAGGGGGGTTGGATGGCTGAATGGTTAGCTTGCGCACGCTGTATCATAAAGTCTGTCATTGAGTCAACTGGCGTGGTTTCGAATTCCCGGTTGTATGTGACAAGGAGTAGGGTCGCCTGTCCAACCTCGTGGGTTTTCTCCGGGTCCTCCGGTTTCCTCCCACTGCTAAAGACCCATACGCGCAAGCGAATTATTGAAATAAAATTAAACCATATGTTAGTCCCGAAATGACCTAGTTTGTGTCGAGTGGACGTTAAACTCCATTTTTCTCTCTCTCTCTCTCTATTTTCACTAGTTAATATTTGTAAGTAAGGTGTTTATATGACCACCGTGTCCAGGTTTATGGTCCAGTCATTATTTCATATCAATTTCTTATGATCAATGCAATCAAAATCATTTATTAATGAAAATTTGTAGAATATATTAGATAGTACAGTCATCATACTTTCATATATATATATTTATTATGATCAATATGTTTGATATTATTTATTAATGAAAACATGTAGTTGTAAAATATACTAATGTCCAAAAGAAAGTATACACTGTGCATTTCGTCCTGGTTCAAACAAAGTTGTTTTTCCATTGTATGCAGTATTTGGGTACAATGTCCATTTGTTTTGCTATTTATTTGCTTAGAAATATTGAGTTTGGACGCACGGGACATGTTCAGTGTAGTTTTATCACATTTTTTTTTATTTAAACAAAACTTAGTCATATTTTTAGTGTGTATACTTTCTTTTGGACATTAGTATATATTAGATATCAGTATAGAAATCTTTTAACTGTCATTTTGTATTTGGATCTTTGTATGTTGTATTTAGGGCTACTGGTGATCATTTCCATTTCATGCAATATTTCATGGCTTAAACAATGCTAAAACATGCTTAAACAACGCTAAAACATGCTTAAATTGATTATTCAGCATTTGATTTAGAAAATGGACCCAAATATCTCCCAGCATGGATTTAACTAAATATATAAAGAAAAGACCCATCAAAAGATTTTAACCAACAGTTTTGGGTGGCTCTGGATTGATTATATTGTCTGGCCCATGGTTTTAAATCATCGTATATCTTTCTGACTACTGAACAGAGAGGCCCATCAAAAGATTTGGGGTGGCACTGGATTGTTTATATTGTCTGTAGAGAATGCCATCATATATCTGTATATACTGAACAGGGTTGAACCAATTTTTGATGAATATTCAATTTAGAGATCCAAACTTTTTAACATTGAGTAGGACATTAAACCCCATTTCATTTTATTTTTTTTAACATTGTTGTTTGAATGGAATTCAAAATCCCTAAAATGAATTCAGAGAGTTTGATAATTTGGTATCAATTAAACAAATTTATTTATATTAGGAGGATTGGACAATTTGGGGACATCAACAATATGTTGTTGCCACACAGTCTTTGCAAACATAGAAATATTTAAATGAAATGTAATGGGGTTTAACGTCCTACTGTTCTGCTCCGACTGGGTTAATGAAGACCTACATTATGCCATATACAGTGTGCTATAAGGGAAATTTTGCTCTGAAATATTTGGACACATTTTGGTTACACAAGATGAGTGTATCAGATTCAACAAGTATTTTTAAAATGAGACATGTAATAAATTTTGGGCCTATTAAAAATTAATATGGTAATATCTATTTATTTTCTTATTTCAGGAATGTACTAATTACAACTTGTCGAGAAATTATTAAAGAGGATATATAAAGGTTATTTCTAATAACAAAAAAAAAAGGTGAAAACTACCCAGATTTGACATCTGTGTGGTCATCGTCCTGACAAAAAGGAACCTAGAAATAATTATGGTTGACAAGCAGTGACAAATACCTGATTAATTACAATTAATACCAATTAGTACTCATCATCTGTCATTACCTGTACAAAATGGAGGCCAGCAGAGTGTTGCGTCTGCTGTGCGTGATCGTCATGGTAATTATGAATTATGTAACGTGTGAAGATGTGACATACACGATTAAAGAAGAGCAGAAGCCAAACTCAGTTGTAGGAAATATTGGACGGGATTCTAAAATACACGATATGGTGACGGATGCCGATTTTGCGAATTTACGGTACAGTTTGTTAACCCAAGGAAATGCTTTCAGTTCATTTTTTACTATCGACGGAGTGACGGGTGATCTTTTAGCAGCTAAACGCATTGATAAAGAATCACTATGTCCGTTTACAGTGGCATGTGTTTTGAATATCGAAGTGGTGGCATCGAACCAAGGTAGTGGAGGTGTTTTCTTTGAGAGTATAAAGATTCACATCAATGTAGACGACATCAACGACAACGAGCCTGTTTTTGCTAAACAGAGAGCGAGCATTGATATTTCAGAATCGGTCAACATCGGAGCCTCATTTTCATTAACTGGAGCTGTTGATAAAGATACGGGTGAAAATAACACGCTTAAAAAGTACGAAATATTGCCCAAGGATGGACCGTTTGGTGTCGGTTTTAGCATCAATATCGATGGCAGTTCAACAGTCAGCATAATAGTCGAAAAACAATTAGATCGCGAAACAAAGGATTCTTACACTGTTACGATTATAGCGCGTGATGGCGGTCAGCCTAGCAGAAACGGCACCATGATTGTTGATATTAATATAACAGACTACAACGACAATTCTCCTAAATTCTCCGATACAGTTTATAACGCAACGGTCCGCGAAAACACACCATCACAAACTGTCATACAAATTGTTTCTGCGGTGGATGATGACATCGGTGAAAATGGTGAAATATTTTATCGACTAAGTGCCCGACAGTCGGCAGATATCCATCGATATTTCTTCATGAATGCTGTTAGTGGCGCCATCTCTATCCGAACATCCCTGGAATATCAGACCACAGAAAATATGAGAATAATTGTCGAAGCCAGTGATCGTGGAGTGCCGCCAAAGTTTTCTCAGGCCATCGTCGAGGTTATGGTTATCGACACGGACAACAATCCTCCTCAGATACGGATCAACATGTTGTCAGGATTAATCAACGCCTTGATTTTGGAAACGGCTTCCATTGGTTCCCCCGTCGCCCACATGGCCGTGACTGACCCAGATTCGGGACAGAATGGTGTTGTGAATTGCTACAGTCAAAATGCTGCGTTCGATCTTCGTGCTTTGGATAAAAATGAATATAAAATCGTGGTAGCTAAAGTCTTAGATTACGAAGAATCTCGCAGTTATCTGGTGACGATTCTGTGCGAAGATAGCGGAAATCCTCCATTAAATTCCAGTGAATTTTTTACTGTAGATGTTTTGGACGCGAATGACAATAAACCAGTTTTTATTCAAACCAATTACGCCGTCAGTATTCCTGAAAATAATTCTATTAATGATACTCTTTTACAAGTGGTTGCCACGGACGCAGATACAAATACTGAAAATGGCCGCATATCGTACAGATTACAGGACGATGCCTACCCTTATTTTGATATAAATCCGTCCAATGGTATAGTCAAGGCTCGTGTCGTTTTGGATCGGGAGGAAATGGCGTCTCATATTTTTCACGTTCTGGCTATCGATAATGGCATACCAAAGAATACGGCCACAGCAGAAGTCATCATAAATCTACTGGACATCAACGACGAAGCTCCAAAGTTTGAGAAAGATTCTTACACTTTTTATGTGTATGAAAACAGGAATGCTAACACCGTCGTCGGAAACGTCTCAGCCTTTGATCCCGATTTAGGACCCGGTGGATTATTTGTGTTTGCTCTTGCAACGTCTGACTTGACAACAAAGCTGCCTTTCACCATCTCGGCAGACGGTTTATTGTCAACAACACGGATGTTAGATTCTGAGTCTCAGAGTCAACATGTGTTTACAATTCTCGCTACTGACCAGGGAGTTGTTTCCCCCTTAACAGGATCAACGCGGGTGACTGTCGTCGTTTTAGACGAGAACGATAACACGCCATTTTTTGTATTTCCTAATGATGCAAATCATAGTTTAACTGTGTATCTACCGATATCGAAAAACTCAAGCATCGTGAAGATTAATGCTGAAGATAATGACAGTGGTGTGAACGGAAAAATCACATATACCCTGAGATCTGATAACGTCTCCGCACTTTTTGTCATTAACCCTGTCACAGGCGACATCTTGGTAACTAGGGACATTACCCCGACTGACATAGCAACATATCATTTCACCGTCAGTGCTGAAGACGGAGGAAAAATATCAAACAAACTAGAAAGTAGATTCAGTATAACTTTTGAGTTGGAACCGGTAAATGTTGGATCCCTCGGTGGTGACGGAAATCAGAATGTTTCGATTGTCGTCGCGTTGATCTGTGCCACCATTTTGGTTTCTGCGGCAGTATTGATAGCGCTTTTTGTCATCAAAAGACGAGACCGGAACAGGAGAGCAAAATATTTAGAGAGTCAAAAATCAAGCACTACTAATACAGAAGTTGGAAAGAGCGATGTACAAGTGAAGTCGGATAGAGAGAAGAATGGAAGAATGAATGAAATAGAAGGAAAAGATAATCCAGCTTTTAGGATGAATAAATCTTCGGGCCAGGGTAATAATTATAAACAAGTATCAGAATCAAGTCTTAAGGTGAGAATTTTCTATAATTTTATGGAAATGTGACGGGGGAGAGAGAGTTGTCTACCCTTAGATAGCAGTTAACACACCTCTTAAATAACCCACGGGTGAAGTTATAATTAATATTTTCGCTTCGGGAGCAGAATTACGACACATTGTCGAATATTTTTGCTTGGAGCATAGCATGTTGAATGATTCATTGGCTCAGTGGATAAGGGCGCTGGCTTGCTAACCCGGAGGTCTGGGGTTCAATCCTGGTCGATATTAGCTGGAAAAAGTCCTCCGTTTTTGCTTGCTTGATTTCTACCTTGTCATTGGTGCAGGGCAAAAGACCTGCCAATGAAAGGTGTCTTTTGTTCGCATCTGACGAAAGACTTGGGTCCTGTGTACACTCAAAAGAACCGTTGGCAGTTGGAATTTGATAAAGCGTAGCACATTGTATAGTGTATGTCTGTCTTCATCTGCCCGGTTCAGGCAGAACAGTTAAACCAGAATTCATCTAATGAAATCCGAATTTCAAAAGTTCAGCTTATACATGCTTGAGAATGTTTTTGCTTTGAGCACAACATGTTTAGAATAGTTTTTTTTCAAACCACAAAGGTAACGTTTGCTGCTTTAAAGAATCTTGGCTATTTATTTCAATTTTTTCTTTGTATGTTGCGGGTGATGGGTTTGTTTAAAATCATTTTTTAATGAGTAAAAAATGATTTCTTTTAAAAAGTTATTTTTATTTGATGTCTTAATTAAAACAAAGATGATTTTTAAAATACAACCTTACAAAGATCGTAGCCATTGTTTGTAATCTTGCTTCATAAATAAAATATCTGTAGGCATATGTTCATTCAAGATACGGAAATGCCTTTGAAATGAATCACTCAAGTAGCATAAAGCATGCATATTTAATACTTAACTGACTTTGATGAATTTAAGAGCTAGAAATTTTGAATAGGAACGTGAACTGCAGCTTCCACAAATTAAATACATTTTAACGTTAAAATTCTCAATAAAATTTAAATATTTACCAAACATAATCGATCGAAAATTTTTCCAAAAATAGAAAGTTTTTAACGATTTAAAAATAAAGAAAACACATTGATCTTCAAAGCAGACGGGTAGATGGTGATTACGTGTGGTTGTCAATGAATTAACAACAACGAATCAGACTTTAAATTTTTCTTAGACTCAACTGTTGATCGTAAATCCCAATGGTAAATAGACTGTGTTTTGAATGAACACAAAAAAAGGGCTTGAATCAAAGACATGTTTTTTGTGTTACACAAGAGATAAATATCAGAAGGGGAAAGCTTGAAGGTTTTATTTCGTAAGATAGCATTTTAAATATAGGCCATTTCCCAAGAATTGACGTATGTGGTTCCTTGCCAGACGGGTTTGTCATCACATCAGGAAAGAATCTCATCCAAGAAAAACATTTGACATATTTCTCACAGACACACCAAATAGTCGGAATTGATTTGTATCCAAAAATTTCTTGGCCTGATTTTTTGTAGTTCCGTCATCACTTTTACAAATTTTCAGGACCTCTTTTTACTAATTAAACATGTCAAAAATACATCAATAATTATTTTATTCTAATTAATGTTTAACTTTTTTTCATTTTATTCAAATGTCGTTTAGAATTCAATTATTTGTCTAAGAGTGTGCGCATTTTAATGTCGATTCTAGTACCGTATTCAGTTTTCCCCCACTGCTATAAATAACCCTAGATACAAGCGAATTAGTGAAATAAATTTGAAATATATGTTTGTCCCGAAATGACCTAGTGGAAGTTAAACCCAATCTTCCCTCTGTGTTCTAGTATTAAAAGCGTACCGGTATCGGAACTAACCCGTCTGTATGTACATCTAGAACATGTGTAAGTATTAACCGCGCCAACTGTGAACGTTTATATTATATCAAATATAATCGGCACAAAATTTTTGTACGTTTGCTATCGATCTTAAAGGAAAATCCATAGACCAAATGTTTGCTAACTTTCTCTAAGCAAACACACTTGAGCTTATATGGTCGTGTGGGTCATATTTATTGGTGTATCAAGAATCTATTCACTATTTACTTTTTGATTTAAGGTTAAAGGTCAGGAGATAAGTGTTATTTTATCTATATTAAAGTTCCATATCTATATAATAACCCCTGTTCCATGAAATTGATATTACTACTGGAAAAACATTTGAAATTATCTCATTTAAATTTATTAGTTTTTCACGCAAATTAGAATGTCTTGTGCCTATTAAAAAAAAGATGATATTCAAATCTAATGGTCGGCCCTGTCCATGATAATTTTGTATAGAGAGAAATGGGGTTTAATGTCCATAAACTGGGTCATTTTGGGACTAACATGGTACAAAATGCGCAGGGTGGAAACCAAAGGATTTGCAGATGCATGCAATATAATTTGATTTGGAACAAGACAAATTCAAAAAGGACAACAAAGATATAAACCAATTATAGCACGGCATCGTGACTCGCCAATAAAAAATACCACAATTTATTCTGTAAATTTTAATAACTTCAAAAGGGATCGAATTACTTTGCTGAATGTGAAAATTTATGAAATTAATAAAAGGCAAATGATATGAACCTAGCAATGAAAACATGAAGGGTATTAAAATCAGGTAAAATTCTGTCGAGCTATCAACATCAAAAAGGTATGTGGAAAAGTGTAAAGCCTTTTTATTTACCGGTATATACATGTAACCCCTAGATTAATCAACGTCAGATACATGTACCCCAGCGATATGATAGATCTGTCGTCCATTTTGTTATTTTAACAAAGGAAATGTTCTGATGTCTTTTTAACAAGATTTTCTTTAAGTCCAGCAGGTGTTACAAGCATTAAAAATTTATTAGTTAGAAAATAATTATCCTTTGTCAAAGTCAATATCCTACGATAATTTCTGAAAACACTTTTGATAAAGTCAAGTGAAATTTAAGATGGTAGGTTAGCCATCGTCAGTTGATCTTGAAAACTTTTATTACAACTTAAACATGGGCTATAAACTAATGGCCTATTCATAAGCAGTTTTAAGAGTTTCTTAACTTGCCAAAATTTACCTGAACAGTGCCATAAACCAGGCTGAAATGTCTTTCAACTGTCTGGAAAATAATTAAATGACCGGGCAACTTAAATAATAAAATTGACAAAATTTGAAACCAGGGAGTAAAAGTTTGATTAGATGAAATAACAAGGTTTGGGGAAACTGTTAAATGGGGAGGGATGACTATTGAAATAACCAATGATGCTGAACAATAGAGGCGGCCATTTCCTCTTATCACCTTGAACAATAGCTTTTAAAAGAGTTGACACGGTTTATAATAGAAAGGAATAGAAACTGTTTAAGCCAAACCCTAATTATATCTTAAAAAGGGTTGTGGACTCTCACCCATCTGATGTATTTACTCTAGAACAATAAAAACAACACTCCACCCCTAATAGTGAGCCTTGGGGGAACCCACCTATGTCGTCAATAGAAAATAAACTCTTAAAAGACTTAAACTGAACAAATTATTATGAAAACAAAAGACAGCTTATCTAGTTAAGTTGTAAATGTTTGTTTAACAGTTTTGTAATGAAAAGAAAGTTTTTATAGTGATGGTTAGTTAAAGGTTAGAGATGAGGTAGACTCGTTTCTTATTATTGATTCATTTAAAAGTATTTCACCATCTTACCATCGGACAAACCACTTTAAGGTTTTACTTCTTCAGGGCCTTAACAAAAAAAATACCTTCTTGACATTCAAACTTCAAAATCTCAACTAAAAGCTTCTGAGAAGAAAAAGCAAAAACCAAATAGCCTACCATAATTCTTGTTTTCTAATATTTTCTTTTTACCATTTCTCTCTCTATTACTGAAAGAAGTGTACACAATTGAAATTGGTGATTTTTGTGAAGAATTGAATTGAAATTTATAACTTTTCCTAATTTTTAGAAATGTAATTCTTTGATTTTGGGTTTTTGCTAAGTATTGATTTTATTGAATTGAAATTTAAAACTTTTACTATAATTTTTAGAAATGTAATTTTTTGATTTCGGGTTTTGGTTAGGGGTGTTCAACAATAATACCTGAGTATTGATTTTATTGAACTGAAATTTAAAACTTTTCCTATAATTTTTAGCAGGTGTAATTTTTTGATTTCAGGGTTTTGCTTTGGGGTGGTCTACAATAACAATAATTTTTAGAAGTTGTAATTTTTTTATTTCGGGGTTTTGCTTTAGGGGTTTTCTACAATAACAAAAGGCCTACCTAAGGTTCAAATTATGATAAAATGTCGAGAATAATCAACATATAGACATGCTAGAGGGGAAACTGTAACTGATATCATAGATAGGACCTGGTAAGATGAAAGAAAATCTATATCTCTCTAGTCACGGCTGATTGAATCTGATCTGTGATTAACAATCAAGATGGCCAGTGAGTGTCTGTTGAAACAGTCACAAGATGCTGGAAGGTAGTTGAAACAGTGACAAGGTGCTGGAAGGCGTTAGATGATGTTAAGATACGAACTCTACAAACTGTCATAAAACTTTTATATACTTACCTCCAACCATTAAGTCATTAGTATACAATGTGTTATTCACACCTTAGGCCTGATATACCCTGATAAACTCTGCCAGATATACCCTGTCTGATATACCCTGCGACATAGTGGTAATTATTACCTAGACACTAAGAGAAATCTGCTACAGATATATAAACACCTTGTGGGGTGGAGGGAGAGTCCCAGGGTTCAAACCCCAAAAATTGTTGATTATGGTTTCATTTTTTAAAAAATTCAAGAAAAAAACAAAACAATATTTGGTCAACGCTACCATATCAGATGTTACTTTCTAATAGAGAGAAAGGGAGAAATGGGTTTAATGTCCACGTAACACACACCAGGTCATTCTGGGACTAACACATGATTCTATTTTATTTCAATAAAGGGCCTTTAGTAGTGGGAGCAAACCGGAGGACCCGCAGAAAACCCATGAGGTTGGACAGGCGACCCTATTCCTTGTCACGTACAGCCAGGGAATCGAAAACATGCCAGTTGACTCAATGACAGACTTGCACATGCTAACCATTTGGCCATCCCCACCCCCCAAGTTTCAAATAGACATGACATGAAAATTAAACTTAAAAAATTAAAAAACCAAACAGATTCAACATAAAACATGAAGTCAGGATTCGTCACATTTTTAGGATCACTACCTTTTTTGTACTTGGTGCCTAAAATATTGTTTCTAATTATATTCATTGTCACCAATATTATTTCATATTTTCCAAGCAGTTATAACTATTTTAACTACTGTTAAATATTCTCAGGAAATATATAAAATTTGACAAGACTTTAAACGAATCTTTCTTTTAAATTGTTTCAAGGGCATTTAGTACTTTAATTGGACTGGAAATAAAGTCGAAACTTCACTCAATAGTTGTATATTCCATAGAATTGCGTAAATGTTTCTGTTATTCGTTTGGCGCAATATAGCACGGTTGGAGCTGATGCGCCATAAAACTCAATTTCATTCAGGTATTCTTTAAAGCTCATTAAGAATATAGTTTTTACGTCATTTACATTTTGTATATTTCTTCAACTTATATTTTTAACAGGGAACGAGTAAATTGAACGAAAGTTTAGATACGTCAACAGCTACTGATATACCAGGTGGTGTTGCCGTTGGCGACCACGCTCATCAACGTCTAATCAAGATGGCTTCCATTCGTCTCCAGCATGATTTAAAGCTCCATGCAAATCATGCTCCAATACATCATAAACCTTTAACTTACGAAGCTAAGGTGAGATTTTACGATTGTTTATTTTGGTAGGCATTGTGCAGCAGCATTCTTCACCTGGTGTTCATGAACAGAGTTCACTATCCAGACGTCGGTGCTAAAATGTCATGGAATTCAGTAGTCATGATGTATGATTGAGTGGTGATGGTGATTACTATTTAGAACCAAGATTTTTAGATGATTTTTAGAACTATATATAGCGGACTAGGTCTTAAAACCAGCTTGACTGCGATATCACTTCGGTGGAAGCGGACGTTTAATAAAGCTATTTCACACACATAAAACCAACCATGTTGTATGACTCGCTGCATCAATCAGTGATGCCAGAAAACCATGATGCTTAGATATTTTCTAGAACTGGTTAACAGTAGCGGACTAGGTCTTAAAACCAGCTCGGACATCCGGTTCACTTACTTGGTCGTCCCATTGTTCGCTAATATGTTGTTTATCTGAGACAGGAGCTGCAGTGGCTCAGTGATTAAGGTGCTGACTCACAAACTAGGAAGGCCTGGGTTTGATCCTAGTGTTGATCGAGAAAATTGCCCCATATTTTTTTACAGCAGGGTTTTTCTTGTCAGTGTCTAATCATTGGAGGGTATGAAAAACACATTCGATATAAGAGTAGGCCATAATGCCGCTGCCTGGGCAAAATTTACCTCATAGCACACTGTATGGTGTATGCCCATCCTCATTAGCCCAGTCAGAGCAGAATATGAAAAACACATTGACATACATCCCTTTACAGTTGGAATTCGATATAAGAGTAGGCCGTAGTGCCACTGTCTGGGCAAAACTTCCTTAACAGCACACTGTGTGACGTATGCCTGTATGCATTAGCTACGTTTGGAGCAGAGAGAGAGAGAGAAATGGGGTTTAACATCCACTCGACACAAACTAGGTCATTTCGGGACTATCATATGGTTTAATTTTATTTACATAATTCGCTTGCGCGTAGGGGTCTTTAGCAGTGGGAGGAAACTGGAGGACCCGGAGAAAACCCACGAGGTTGGACAGGCGACCCTACTCCTTGTCACGTACAACCGGGGATTCGAAACCACGCCAGTCGACTCAATGATAGACTTTATGATACAGCGCGCGCACGCTAACCATTCAGCCATCCAACCCCCCGTTTGGAGCAGAAGAGTAGAAAGTTAAACCCCATTTCATTTCATTTCTCATCCAGGTACATCACACTTAATCCAAGTCCATCAATTATATTATTAATAATCTCCAAAACAAATTGCTATTTGACAAGATTACAAGTTGTGTTATAACTAGGTGACATTATGTGTACTTATATTATGATTAATTATGTATGACTATGATAGGAAGAAGAGCTTTAATTATTATACCACTCAACAAAATCAATTTACAACAACATGTCAGACTAGACATTGATATATTGGTTTCTAAGATCTGAGTCAATAGAAGGACATCTGTACAAAGTTTAAACCTTGCTGTTATTAAATTTTAAGAGTAAGGAAGTGCTAAGTATGAGGATGTGGGTCAGAAGTGAATTAACTTGTCTGCGATATCACCCTATGTAAGTGGAAGCGGAAGTTGTAAAGTGTATTACGGTTCTCACCTAGAAAGTCTCCAGGGTATTGAATTACTTTTAAAAATTGTTTTGTCTTGGAAATACTTCCACAATTTATTTAAGGACAGGTATCCATTGGAATGAAAATTAACATATGGTACATGTAGTTTTCATTCCAATGGATACCTGTCCAAAGCCAGATGATTTAAGCAGCTCTGAATTCCAAGGATTCTTTTACATATAGGCCTATACATGGATATACATCCAAATGACCTGTAAACACCTCCCCACACCACAGGCTTAAAAAAAATCCTGAAAATTCTTCTTGGACACATGTTAAGATTTTGTTTTGAGAGACCCGTGCCCCACAGCTCGTCCAAAGTGGTCCCCAAATTTTAAGGAAAAGTATTTAAGTGTGGAATTGAGTTACATTTGAGGAACCTTGCAACATTTTCTCATAAATTCTGCTCATGAGAAGAGAACCTTAATTAGGAAATCAATTAAAACACCTGTCATTAAGGCACTGATAAATGTTTTGTTAATTATTTTATATTACCTGGTCATCAATGTCTACCTGGATTAATTAACGAGGACAGCAGTAGATAAGGTAGACAGGGTTTCCCAGGCATCAGATTACAACTTTCTGACATACTGACACGACTGATAAACTTTTTTACATAAACTTTCACACTTCATCTAGTTTAATAATTACCAGTCTATCACGGCTGGGTTGAATCATGCAGATACATGTTTTAAAGAGAAAGGGGGGGGGGGGGTGAGGGGGTAGATGGCCGAATACTTAGCACATGTGCGCTGTACTACAAGGTCTTGTCATTGAGTCAACTGGCGTGGTTTCGATTCCCCAGTTGTACGTGACGAGGAGTAGGGTCGCCTGTCCAGCCTCGTGGGTTTTCTCTGGGTCCTCTGGTTTCCTGCCACTGCTAAATTAAGACCCAGACGCACAAGTGAATTATTGAAATAAAATTGAACCATGTGTTATCACCAGAATGACCTAGTTTGTGTCGGGGTTGACATTATACCTTTTTTCTCTCTCAGAGTGAGGGTATTGTGGTGTGATTATACTGTTACGGTATATCAATAAATCTATGGTCTTAATGCACATTGCTAGTTATTGGGTAGCCATTTATATCTGTTCTAAAAACAATATCAAGATTATGATCCTATAAACCAAGATTACCTTGTTAGATCCAACATTCTCTTCATTTTCACACCTGGAATGACCCATGACTTTTTTATTACCTTTACTACTCATAATAAACCACGTGGCATTCCATGTTATAGTGTGGTCATGTTGAATGTTCTTAGTTTAATAAAGTTGTGGTCATTCTATAAGTATATAATTTAATGGAGTGGTCAGTTTTAGTTTTATCAGATATAGTAATTAACAGGTATTTGTTACTGGTCATGGTTGGTTAGTTTTAATCACCTCCTCCCCACTCTTGTCTATATATACTGGTTATGGTCTGTTAAGTTTAATCACCCCCCACACACCTATATGTTGTATATAAAAACTGATGTGATTAACACCTACTCTTATCTTCATCTGTTTAGTGGTCAACTATATTTCACCTTTTAATTACAAATATTTCAACTTTTACTCCTTTAACAATAAATAAATCCAAGTATAATAATTATTTCAACTTTTAACAATATAAATAGAATATGATAATTATTTCACCTTATGAAAATATGAATAAAAATTTGATAATTATTTCACCTTTTACCGATATGAATAAAACCTTATAAAAATATGATAATTATTTCACCTTTTACCGATATGAATAAAACCTTATAAAATTATGAATAAAAATATGATAATTATTTCACCTTTTACCGATATGAATAAAACCTTATAAAATTATGAATAAAAATATGATAATTATTTCACCTTTTACCGATATGAATAAAACCTTATAAAAATATGAATAAAAATATGATAATTATTTCACCTTTTCACAATATGAATAAAAAATATGATAATTATTTCACCTGACAATAAAATAATGAGAATATGCTAATTATTGCACCTTTTCAACATTAAATAAATATTTTACCTATTACTTCTTTTAATAATAAAAAAATATTTCAACTTTTAATAATAAATAATTATTTCACCTAAATAAATAAACATTTCATATTTTAAACAATAAATAAAATAACATTTCACCTTTTACTTCTTTTAATTATAAATAAATATTTCACATTTTTATCCTTTTAACAAAACCAAAATAAATGAATAAAAAATAAATTTAGAAATTAAGATTTACATTAAAGTTTATTTTAAAAAAAAAACAACAAAAAAATGATCATCAGGATTCTTGGTCAAAGTACTGGTAATACACATTTATATCTCTCTTAAACTCTCTGGCTTTAACATCTGTGGCAAAAATTCTGGTGTTTTCTTGCTTTCAAATGGGCAAATTAACTATAAAAAAACAATTTTACCAGGGTGGAAACTGGTGGATAAAAATAATGAGCTCGTAACAAGACATCGGGAAAACTTACAAATCCATGAAATTAACCATCCCTGGGGTTGGGGAGAAAGGGTGTCAGTTTTAATTTAATTCTTAACAACATACCGTACGTAACATACTCAACACTCGAGGGTGGGACAAACAAATCCCTTTTTTTTAAAATTGAGTAGCGGACAAAAGAATTGAGGAGACAATACCGCCCTTCGATAATAGAGGCAGACGGCGATTGAATCTTATTAAAGTCATTAGGCCAAGAATAGTGTGAACACAAGAGGCTTTTCATCTGGTTCCATGAAAAGTTTTGAGGGCAAATAATTGATAAGCTAATTAATGCAACTCATTGGGTAATGTTACTTGGTCTGTCTCTGAGGTTCAGAGGCTCGTTATTCCAGTCCCCTACACCTTTTTACGATTGAGTGGCCCCTGTGGTGGCCTCTGATTATTGTTATCTGTTTGTAAGAGTTACTTGAGCAGAAAATTTGATGAGAAAACCTCCTACTGTGGTAACTTGTAACATTCTTGTTTGCTTTTGGAACACTGGGTGGTTAAAATACTATTACTTGTACCTCTATTGTTAAAATTCTAATTAAAAAAAAACCCTTGAAATCATTTCTATACAAAAGTCTAATATTCCCAATCTCTTGGTTTTATTTTTGACAATAGGAAAATTTTAAATATCTTTTCTATTTTTTGACAAAATAATTGACAGTATTCCCAATCTCTAAGTTTTATTTTAAAAAAAGGGAATTTTGAATATTTAGAAATAGTTTCCATTTTTAACAAAAAAATTGCTAAAGTATATAAACTTGGCATAGTGGTAAAGTATATAAACTTTACATACCGTATGGCATACAAGTAGCTAAATTTTGGAATAAGTAAAAGGTTGGTCTAACCAGTTCATATTTTTACAGCAACATTTAGTAATTGAATTGGAAATGCACAGAACACAATTCTGTGGAATGTAATTATTGTATTGTTTGTTATCATGGAATATAATTACTGTTTGTTATTTGCTTGGCCCATCTTGATTAGCCCAGTTGGTGTAGAACAGTAGGACGATAAACACCCATTTCATTTCATGTTGAAGACAAGAGAAATGGCGCTCAGTCATAAACGGTAATTATATTCCACAATAACAAACAGTAATATACAGTAATTATATTCCGTAGAAGTATGTCCTGTGTATATCAGGGATGTAAATTTGTTGTGTGTTGTTCGTATATTAGTCGTAGTAAGTACAGGAGTACTGCACCACACATCAACAATTACACAAGACAAACCCATGGACATCACACACAATATATACACAGACATTTCTAACAATATACGCACATCAAATCAAGTAAGTTGGTCTGCATATTCTAGAGATAAAAAATTCCAATTAAGTCAGATATTGAGAGTTCACGGTGATAGAGACTACTAAAATAACACATTATCCAGTAATAAAACATTGTGTTTGTCAACACGTTCTTGATGAACGCTAAACAATTGTATTAACTCTATAGAAGTAGAAACTCTAGTCTAAATCCCCTCCGGTTAAATATTGCCGCGAAACTAAGGCTACTGTTCAAAGGTAATTTCAGGTGTTACGCTATGTCCAGATGGGGGGTACAATAGGATACTGTTACAACAATAGGAAGCTGGTTTTAGAGTCAATATTACCCTGGGGCATTAATTTACCCCAACAGGCCCTCTTCAAACACGTGGATCTTTGATGGACAATTTTTCTCTTATTAAGGAAAATGATGAAAATCGAGGCTTGTGTTAATTGTGTTTGACCAGTATTACTGTGGACGTATTGACTTTATTTGAATTTTGTTGTCAATAGTTTTCGCCTTCCGACCTCAGCGTTTAAATTTGAAAATCATCCCCTTTTGAAACCAGTAGAACTTTGTTATTTGATACGCAAGCTATTTCAATAGATTTGATTTCAAAAGAAGTTTTGTTGAAGATTTTGGCCTGTAAAATTAGTTGGGATTGCAAATAAAACGGAAAACGCTTGGGATTAGGTAAATTGTAATTAACGGAGGTTAAGAGGTAGATTTTCGTTCACAGTGCTAGATGTAGACCACATAACCAATGGTGCAAAACCTATTTCTATTGACAAATGCCAGAAATATAAGAGGCAATATTTGTTATTGTGAGGTGTAATACAAAAAGTAAGCTAGAGTAACAAAATTGTTATCAAGTGTTCTTCTTGAAAAATCTGGTTTAACGTCCTACTTTTCTGCACCAACCAGTTTTCATTAGCCCAGTCAGAGCAGAACAGTAGGACGTTAAAACCCTTTTCATTACTGCACCAACCAGCCTACTATGAGAGAGAAAGAGAGAGAGAGAGAGAAATGGGGTTTAACATCCACAACACAAACTAGGTCATTTCGGGACTAACAGATGGTTTTAATTTTATTTCAATAATTCGCTTGCGTGTAGGGGTCTTTAGCAGTGGGAGGAAACCCGGAGGACCCGGAGAAAACTCACGAGGTTGGACAGGCGACCCTACTTCTTGTCACGTACAACCGGGGATTCGAAACCACGCCAGTTGACTCAATCACAGGTCTTATGATAAAGCACGCACGTGCTAACCATTCGGCCATCCACCCCCCCAGAACAGTAGGACGTTAAACCCCTTTTCATTCCTGCCCCAACCAGCCTACTTTGAGAAAATATTTGCCTCGACAGTAGTTTTATGTTCTTCTCTTATTTCAATTTACAACTATTCATGGATCTTTAACTTACTGCGAATACACAAGACTTTGTTTGTTTTTCATTCCATCTGAAGGACTAGATGATTTTCTTTCTGCACCACTGACAAGTGGAAACCATGCTGGAAAATCCTAAGAAATTTTTTCAACTTCTGGTTAGTGCACCAGAGCCATACTCACTGAGCCACCGTGGCTCCCTCTCACTATTGTTAGCATCCAAACAACGAAAACACTGCCTTGTACCCGGCCCTAGGTACTGCACTACCAACAAGGCCCTCCATCCTGTACTACTGACAAGGGGAAACTATGCTGGAAAATCCTAAAGAACTTTATTTGCCAATAACGGAATCGAACTTGGAACCTCCTTGATAGTTAGCCAGGTCATACTCTCCGATCCATTGTGGCCCCCCTCTCACTGATGCTGTCAATACCCGGATCGATCTTGGAACTTCCTGGTTAGTTTGCCAGGCTACACTCTCCGATCCATTGTGGCCCCTGAGGAAAAGACGAGGGGAATTAATTAGGACTTCATTTTATGTAACAAAAAAATCACTATGATATTAAACATCTGTATAATAAAGTCTTTAAAGTTTTTCATTATTTCGATCTTTCAGGTGAGAGAATGGCAAGATCATTCACGAAGAGCAGAAGATTTTCACAGTACAAGTTCAGGGGAAGTAACAACAGGGGACAGCGGAAACGGGAGTGATGAGGATTCACATTATCTTCACGATCGTAACGTTACACCTACTAAAATAAGACTCGGCATTGGAGCCGTCGTACGAAATCATTACAATCCAGCTCCGTTAGAAAAACACAAAACAGCGAATAATTTAAGTACCACACCGCGTCAGGTGAAATTTGTGATACCCAGCGAAGACTGTGTTTCGCCCATATATAGTCATTATTCTCATTCTCATCCATCGATACGAAGTGACGCTACGGAAGATAATGACGATACCACTACTTCTGGTAGTTATAGTATTATGATGGATGATATTCGATCAGAGTTACCCGACTTTAATGTGGTTAAAGATATTTACGTCTGATTGTGTAACGTGTGATTTTATATTTTTGTTATGGAGGATGAATGGAATGTTTGCGTGTTATTTTTTATTATACAGTAATTCAGAATCAGCGTTGATAACTACAGACCATATGTGACACTGTGAAAGTAAAAATATTGTTATCAATTTATAAAAGAACAACCCTGTTTAGTCGAAAAGTAAACTAAGTGTAGTTTAATGGTCGAGTGCGAGACATTAAGTAGGCCTAATATATTGAAATTGCAGGATTGCTTTAGCACAAGTGCTATATCCATATACATGTATTACGCATTGTCACATGGGTCCAATATTTCAACTGGTATAAATAAAGTACACTTGGCTTATTGCTCGTACCATGGTACGCTAACATCAAAGGATGGCGTCACATCTGTATTTTAAGGTCATCCATTATGGCTTAAATTTATGAAATACAATGTTTAAGAACTCTTAATTCTGAAACATTATTCAAACTTAAATTTATTTGCATATTCAATATTTAATATGTTTAAAAGCTGACATAAACCTTATTGCTACTGAAATCATGATTTAATATTTTTATAAACTTATATTTTGTTCAAACTATATAAATCATTGATAAAAGGTTTGTTGAAATGTGTTATTGATGTAAATGAAATCCAGAATATTATAAACTGTTGGGCTTGATTGGAACAAAGAATACAAGTAGTTTTGACAAGAAAATGTGATCCAGATCAAGTGCATTAAAAAGCTTAAACATAATCAACTATTTATGCTTTGGAGGCCTTTAAAACATTCGCCCAAATTCATAGAGATCTTTGGTCTGAAATATCTCTGGTTACTGTCAAACACCCTACTTTAAAAATGACTTATTTTGCAAGTAAAAGGGCTTTTGGACACAATTGGAAAGGGCAGCACTGCCTTTGCTAAGAAATGAAGAATTCTGTTTAATTGGAACTTAAGAGAAAAATGCAGCTATGTTATGAACTGTCTCAGGGAAAGTTTAAAATAATTAGAGTTCTAAATCAGATTTTGTTTATAAAAACTAGGAGTTTGAATATTTTTCTAAATCAGATTTTGTTTATAAAAACTCGAGTTTGAATATTTTGTTTAAAGTAAATTTGTTTATATCAAAAGTGAATCGATACTACTTAATAATGTTATTCTGAATTACTTCTTTCAGCGACATTTATAAATTAATATACGTGATTAACACCACAACTTAATATGTAACACAATTACTAATTTAATTAAGGCAACATTTTGATGAGTGTTTCGAATAGGGTTGCCTTTTCACCTTGTGGGTTTTCTCCCACTGTTAATTAAAGACCCCTACGTACAAGCAAATTATTGAAAAGAAAATTGAACCAGGTTGTTCCGGAAATTACCTATTTTGTGTCCAGTGGACAATAAACTGTCTCTCCTATTTGATAATGAAAGGACCCTCAACGAAATGAAATGAAATGGGGGTTTAACATCCTACTGTTTTGCTATGAAGACGGGCATACGCCATACAGTGTGCTCTGATGGAAATTTTGCCTACTCTTATATCGAATTCCAACTGTCAAGGGATCTTTTACGTGCATGCCAATGTGTACACAGGACCTCGGTTTTTCATCCCATCCGAATCTCAACGCAACGTTGCTTTAGTTATATAATTGAGTTGCATATTATGTTGATGTGTTTATTTGATGTGAAATGTTGATGAGTGGTTGTTATAAAGATGATGTTTTTGTTGTTGTTTTTGTATATTATTTATACATTGTATATATTTTGTTTTTATTTATATTTTTGTATGGATTAATTGATGATAAAATATACAACAGGGTGTCAACAACTATAAATAAATACACAGGTCTAGAAATAATTTTAATTTTTTTTTTTTTCTGACTAAACTGATCGTGTTTGTAGCAGAAATAAAATCAGATGGGGTTTAACGTCCTACTTTTCTGCACCAACTGGGATAATGAAGAAAGGCATACGTCATACAGTGAGCTATGAGAGATTTTGCCTGGACAGCGGCACTACGGCCTACTCTTATTTCGAATTCCAACTGTCAAAGGTTCTTTTACGTGCACGTCAATGTGTACATGGCACTGCAGTTTTTTGTACAGTCCGAATGACTAGAAACTGTCCTTGCCAGGCCCTCCATCTTGCAACCACTGAATATTTTGACCCACACCGGACCTCCAGGTTAGTGAGCCAGTGACTTGAATAAACTTCTAATAGTCTTTCTATCAAGGTAATTTTCAACCTTTTCTGGTAAAGTCGACACAAACTAGGTCATTTCGGGACTAACATAGGGTCAATTTTATTTCAATAATTTGCTTGCACATACAGGTCTTTAGCTGTGGGAGGAAACCAGAGGTCCTGGAGAAAACCCACGAGTTTCAGCATGCCACCCTTCTCCTTGTCAAATACAAGTGTGGGCTCGAACCTACGCCACTTAACTCAATGACAGTTCTTAGGATCTAAAGTGGATGCGCTAGATCACCCAAACCCCTCGCTAGATCACCCAACTCCCTCGCTAGATCACCCAACCCAATCGCTAGTTCACCCAACCCCCTCGCTAGATCACCCAACCCCCTCGCTAGATCACCCACCCCCCTCGCTAGATCACCCACCCCCCTCGCTAGATCACCCAACCCAATCGCTAGTTCACCCAACCCCCTCGCTAGATCACCCAACCCCCTCGCTAGATCACCCACCCCCCTCGCTAGTTCACCCAACTCCCTCGCTAGATCACCCAACTCCCTCGCTAGATCACCCAACCCCCTCGCTAGTTCACCCAACCCCCTCGCTAGATCACCCAACCCCCTCGTTAGATTACCCAACCCCCTTTCTTCTCTCACTTTGATCCTGTCTTTTTGTCAATTCCTGTTTCACAACACAAGATTCTTTTCTCGTATGGTTTTAAAACCTGTTCGGTCACAAAATAAAATAAAAGAATATTTAATGAAATGGATGGATTATTTATTATTAGGTAACAATTTCTATAAATATATATGATATAGTAACAAATAATATATACACATAAACAAAATGCAAAGATAACACTAACATAAACAAAGATACCACTCTAATATACACATAAGCTAAGATAACACTCTAATATGCACATAAACAAAGATAACACTCTAATATACACATAAGCTAAGATAACACTTACATAAACAAAGACAACACTCTAATATACACATAAGCTAAGATAACACTCTAATATGCACATAAACAAAGAAAACACTCTAATATACACATAAAACAAAGATAACACTAATATGTGGCAAGTTATATACAGTAATATACACATAAAAAAAGATAACATTATAACATATGTGGCTCAATCATAAATAGTAAGTTGACCCTTAAATATGTTGGATGACATGGAGGGGTTTAAGGTACCATTTCTCTGAACCAAATGGGCTAATGCATATTCTATACACCGTGTTATGAGCGAAATTTCTTTTACATACACACCAATGTGTATATGGAACCATTGTCTTTTAGTCTCATCCAAAGCATTACACCCTGTTCCTTGTCAGGCTCTCTGTCCTGCACCACTGACAAGGGGAAACCACACTGTTAATATGATGATTTGAGTCTACACTCTACTGTTGAATATGTTCGATGATCAATACAATAACATCGTTCTTGTGCTTTCTCGGACGACTAGAGGACCCTGCTCGAATTGTGGCTCAGTGATAAACATACTAGTAATCTTTAAATGGTATTTAGCGATTGTACTTAATATAATACAACACAGCGTTTCTACACGATTTCACTGGTCGTTATCAAGCATAATTCCAAACAGTAACTGTATTCCACAGAATTTTATTTCTTGTAAGAGTTGTCTACCCTTGAATATGTTTGATAATTAAATACAATAACATCATGATTATATATACATGTATATAAAATAAAAACTTATAACAATATTACTCTGATCATCATCATAATCTCTAAACGTATATAAAACATAAAATACTATACCCCTATCTTACATTAACATATACATGGTCTGGCTTACAAGGTTTTACATTGTCAAACTTTATAGAAATCAAAATTATTCATCTGGATTGAAAATGGAGGGGCTTATTCACTAAAACTTTAACTAAAATAATGTAATGATTTAGAATTTGCTTAGACTGACAGTTCAAATCTTTGTACAGCAGGCCTACTAAATTTGAGTTTCTGTTATTCAGGAACACCTGTTAAAATTGTTCTTTTTATTTCTTCCCAAAAAAGACTGATTTAATAAAAGCTTTTAGTTCCAAATTTTTCCATTTTTCCATTTTGAACAAAACATCTTTCATGTGATTCAAGTGCATAAAAATAAAATCTATTTTTTTTAAAGAATTTGTCAGGCAACCCCTGATGTAACGTCTAGATATAACAAATTGGACATGAATATAACAAATCATAAACCAGTATAATATCAATAAATGACATGGCACATATTATCACCATCATCACCATCATCATCATCATCATCATCATCACCATCATAATAATAATAATTTTCTAGAGCGCTGAACATTCAGTCAGTTTGACTGCTCTGTGGCGCTTTACAGAGAATATAACGTAGACAACAAGCATAGGTAAAACAAAATTATCAGATATACACAAAATATTATATAAATTTAATTTTGATAATTAATTTGAAAATATTCTATTTTTAAACGCTTTGTGAAAGTTGATATATTGGGGCTATTCTGTACAGTTTTTGGTATTTTATTTCACTCTTTTGGACCAGGTGAACGCTGTTTCTCCAAGCTTGGATTTACGAAAAGTACAAATTAACTAATTACTATTTGATGAACGTAAAGTTCTAGCTGGAACATATCGTATTAATAAATCTGTCCGTCAAGGTCTAACAAGCTGATCCAAACGAACAGATAGAGAGAGTTTAACAGCCACTCGTCACAAACTAGGTCATATCGGTATTAACATTTGGTTCAATTTTATTTCAATAATTTGCATGCGCATAGGGGGTCTTTAGCAATGCGAGGAGATCAGACGACCTGGAGAAAACGCATGACTTTGGACAGGCCATCCTACCCCTGACTAAGGTAAACAACGTTGGAAAAACCTTGGGGAACTATCTTGACTAACATTGGGATCGACCATGGGAACTCCGAGATATTAAGCTAGCCCCACTTCCAGTCGCTTCGACGTGGCTCCATTACATAAAATAAACCAAGTAAATCCATAAAGTTGTGTGTTTTCTTTCAATAACTCGCTTGCGCGTAGGGGTCTTTAGCAGTGGACCCAGAGAAAACCCACGCGGTTGGACAGGCGACCCTACTCCTTGTCAGGTACAACCGGGGATTCGAAACCACGCCAGTTGACTCAATGACTGGTTTTATGATACAGTGTGCACGTGCTAACCATTCGGCCATCCAACCCTCCAACAGGTAACAGAATGTATTTATTATTGTACAGATGCCCTATATACATTTTGAAACAAGTTATAAAAACTTCTACAAACAGATTTCAACAAGTCGTTGCCATTCAAGTTACGCCCACATTTTGCAAGAGATGGACAGAGAACAAATTAAAAAAGCGATTTTTCATACAATCAGGGGTCATTATGCAGGAAGTTATGGTGCGATATGTGCCGATATCAAAACGAACCAAGAACTTTGGGATATCAAACTATATTTCAAGTTTCGTCCTGTAGAGTGTCCACAAACAAAACATGAACGGAACTCATGGACGGACAGGAGCGCGGTCATATGTTTACAGGAAAATGTGGACGTATAAAAACAAAAAATACACAAATCCTATAAATATATCAAAATGATTCGCATTCTTTGATTTGGCTCAAAAATAAAATCAGTGAATTGATTTTTTTGTTCAAAATTTTTATGTTCACCAAGACGGTGATAAGAAATGTTAATTTTTTGGGGTTAGGGTGGCAATCTGTCTTCGTTCAAAATTTTGCAAACACAAATAAAAGCCAATGTTAAAATAGAAGACAAAAAAACCCCAAATAAACTTCCTCAACATAAATTTAACTGTTATAGAAATAGCTACATCACAAATTAAAATAACTGAACCAAATCAACCGAATTCAAAATATTTAATTTAAAACCCAAATCAAAAAGAGGGATAGCTCCTTTAAATGAAGTGTGAAACGTGCGTGTTGATGACGGAAAGTGTTTAATTAAAATATTTATAATGATGTAAATATATCTGTGCTAGAAAGGGTTGAGTTTAACCCAGGCCCGTAACTAAGGGGGGGGGGGCACAGGGGGGCTATAGATATACATATTCCGGCAATTTTACAGCACCCGAGAACACTTCTGAGCTAGTAACGACCCTGGTCCTAATGGTAAAGATGCTGGAAAGGGTTGAGTCTAACCCCTGGTGGTAAAGATGCTAGAAGGGGCTGAGTTTAACCCCTGGTAGTAAAGATGCTAGAAAGGGTTGAGTCTAACCCCTGATAGTAAAGGTGAGAAGGGGTTGACTTTAGCCCACATGATGGCTTCGTTAATGGACATGGCTGTTTTACCATCTTCTAGAAAATAGGCTAAACCCTGAAAAAAAAAAAAAAAAAATGAAAATCCTGAGGAACTTTATCGACCTATACTTCGATCGAACTACGGACATGCTGGTTATTGATCTAACATCTTATACACTGAGACACCATGGCCAAAGGAAAGATTACAAGACAAGGGAAATAACTCCATAAATATAACATGCATCCAGACACTACCTAATAAAACACTCTGTATAGATTGATCTGTCAAATTTTGATATTAGCTAAAATTGTCCAAAATAGTCAAAATTTGTTGATTTTTCAAGTTGTGTCCAGCCTCTATTTAGTCATTTATATAGGTAAATCAAACTTTTAACTTTTAACTTGCTTTTTTCCATACTCAATTTATCACCCATATCTGGTCTTAGAAAATCAAATTCTCAAAATCTATGAGAGGAAATGGTCTCGTCTTTGGAATACGATTAGTGCTATAGCTACTGTGTGCAATGAGGTGATTTTTTCAAAGTGTTTTTTATACATTTGGACATTTTATTGTACAAAATCTTTTTAGTAGTGTGGGTGTGGGATGCATAATGTTCTTTATTAACATTCAAATAGTAAAATATATGCCTTATTTCACTCTTTAATGCCTATAATATATGTTATTCCAAATCACAAATAGTTGGTTTCAATAAAATTGTTGAAGATTTGGCTTTTCTAACATACCAATCCAATATGGCCACCATTTACATGGCAACAAATTAACATTTTGTGCTCAAATTATCAAATCTGATTTGGGACATCATATACTAAAACTGCACTAAATGGTAAGTTTCTGTTATCAATGGGCCTGCTTGATTTGTCCGCCGATAGGTGAGCCGGTTTCTACTACGGCATAAGCCGGTCAGGTTACCGTATCGAAGCAAATCAAGTAACCCGGCTGATAAACAATATGGCGTCGGATAATGCTATAATATTAAACCGGTTACATGACATGTTTTAATCAAAAACAGTATTCTTGAAAGTGCCCGCAAAATAAGCAGAAAATTATTATTAGTAATATTACTGAGAAAAAATAAATGACATATGAACTTCTGGTTTTACGAAGCTCAAATTCAACTTCAAAACATTTGGTTTAATTTTAACCCTTTAAAATTAGTGTTTTGTCAACTTCCGGTGAAATCAAGTGACCTTGTGCAAAAACTGCCGAACTGTGGTCAGCCGTTGTGGTCAGCCGTTATGCGCCGGTATTGACAAATCAAGAAGGGCCAATGTAAAATTCTTAGGTAGTGTCCTGCCTTATATACATTGAAACAATTTAATTATTGTTGGCTATTGTTGCACATGGATGTGAGTAAAATGCTGCCAAAGTCACTCGTACAGAACCAAGGACAATCATGTAATTAAAAGAGAAAGCCAAAATGATTTTTCATAAATTGTAAAACATTTAAAACAGAACCAATCTGGTTATAACACAGATCCTATTTCCCTTCGTTTTTTATAGTTCAAAATTTCGTTTAATTGTCTTTACTACACTAGGATCTGAAAGAGCTGTTATATTACGGGCATTCTGGTTGAAGTGAGGGATTAGCCAATGAAACGGTCTGTTACGGCGAGTTCTTGGCGTGCGTTTCAAGGAACTGTGGGTAAACCACTAGAAACGTCAATACCTGATGTCATAGGGTCAAAAGCCCCTCATATGACCCCTGACTCGTGCTTTCAGCACAACCGGTCAGATCTTCATGTAGTAGAGGCCATTAAAAGTATAAAAAAATGAAACGAAATATAGATGTGTGTTTTAATCAAATTGAAACAAAACACAACACAAGGCATATATGGATATAACTACTTCTCTATTATTCAATAACAACGTTTCATAACTCTTACAGGTAGTTAGTTATATCCATATATACCTTGTATTGTGTTTTAAATAGTTAATGATACTTATGGATAATTTAAAGAATTGTAAAACATACCAGAATTCTTTTTTCTGTAAGACAAGATATATGAACATCAGAATGTGATGGTAGTTGTGAACTGGCCACGCAATCTGGTCCAAATGATATAATACTTGTCTTCTTGCCTGCCTTTCGCCAGAAATCATGATATATAGATTTCTCTTCTGATGTATTCTCTTCTGTTGTCCTAGAAACCACAATAAAATATACAAATAAACAACCAATCAGTGAGTGATTCATCCAGTTGTCCTAGAAACAACAACAAAATAAACAACCAATCAGTGAGTGATTCATCCAGTTGTCCTAGAAACAACAATAAAATAAACAACCAATCAGTGAGTGATTCATCCAGTTGTCCTAGAAACAACAACAAAATAAACAACCAATCAGTGAGTGATTCATCCAGTTGTCCTAGAAACAACAACAAAATAAACAACCAATGAGTGAGTGATTCATCCAGTGCTATATAATGGTATATATCTGTGTAATCCAGTGGTGTAATGTGTCATAAATTCAGTCACCGAGTCAAACGTCCTCTCTTCTCTACCAGCTCATCTCTTCCCACCCCTCCATACTCTCTCTCCTCTGCCTGCTCCTTCTCTCCCCTCCACTCTTTTCCCCTGTCTCTTCCCCCTCCCATCCTCTCTGCCCTACCCTGCCCTCCACTCTTTCCCCTATCTCTCACTCTTTCCACCCCATACTCTCGGCCCTACCCTGCCCTCCACTCTTTCCCCTATCTCTCACTCTTTCCACCCCATACTCTCGGCCCTTTCCCTCCTCCTCTCTCTCCCCCTCTCTCTCCCCCCCGCCTCCCTTCCCTCCTGTCTTCTCTCCCGTGGTTTTGTGTTGACTAAGGCCAGGAGTTAAGTTGATTTAAAAACAACACCTATATACAGATCACAAAATATTATAACTTATATTACAGCTTGTAGTATCCAATATCAGATGGAATATTTTACCTTTTTTTGTGAGCATGATAATACGTCTTCCACACCTCTAATTCAGAGAAGACACGTGAATCTGTAAGAGGTACATCAACATTCTTCTGTAGACAATATCTAAAATAAAATAATTATTATTTACAGTAAATGTATTAATTAACAGAAGAGACTTTTTACCGAGGATGGGGTACCTTCACGAGGTAACTCACAGGGTTTCTTGGTATACATGTAAGTAAAGTTCACAAACCTGGTAGAAGTAAAGTGCATTTACCAGGTACAAGTAAGCAAAGTGTATTTACCTGGTACAAATAAGCAAAGTGTATTTACCTGGTATAAGTAAGTAAGGTGTAAAGTGTGTTTACCTGGCATAAGTAAATGTATTTAACAGGTATAAGTAAGTAAAGTGTATTTACCTGGTACAAGTAAAGTGTATTTACCAGGTATAAATCAGTAAAGTGTATTTACCTGGTATAAGTAAGTAAAGTGTATTTACCTGGTATAAGTAAGTAAAGTGCATTGACCTGGTACAAGTAAAGTGTATTTACCTGGTACAAATAAGTAAAGCGTATTTACCTGGGTACAAGTAAAGTGTATTTACCTGGTATAAGTAAGTAAAGTGTGTTTACCTGGTATAAGTAAGTAAAGTGTATTTACCTGGTATAATTAAGTAAAGATGCTACAATAGAATGATAACCTTGTCTAACGGCCTCTAATGCTCCAATATAACAACTTAATGTTAATAATTCATCCTTCATTCTACAACAAACAGATATTTTATAATAATCAGTACTGTGAAAGTCTAAAAAGAACAGCTGTCCCAATCTGATTAAAATAAAGATCTTTATTTCGTTTCGTTTCTTTATACTTTCTGTGTTTTTATCAGATTGCATCCGTCTAAAAATGGTTCAATTCCATTCCATATTTACATTTCACATGATGAATTTAACATTTCACAAAATATTCTGCAGACAATCTCAATAAGCCAGTGCCACCTATAATGTTATTATGTTGGGTCTTTTGTTAATCCAACTGAATTTAAGTTGGGAGATTGTCTACTATTGATATTTGTTTCCTTTAGTTAAAGGGGCATTATTAAAGATTAGATAAAGAGATAATAGTTCTCGCTATAATAGTTCAAAAATAGATGATGAAAAGGGAAAATGCTGAAACAATCACAGTCAAATTACTTCACTCTGAGCCAAGCTATCAGCGATACACTATTGGACTAGCCTCGATTGTGATTATTACCGTTGTTATGATAATAAACAAAGACTGAATTATCCATTTTTACGGTTAGCCAAATCCACAACAAAACTTAGCCAAATCCACAAAATCTTGCAGGCTAACGATGTCAACAAGAGTTGATTATGGTCTGGTTAAGTTAATTAATGTCTAATTAATAATTTATCTAACATTTCAGACCTAAAGAAAGACCTGCAATAGGTAGATTTAGCTCTTCCATAATGCCTGTTCAACTAAATGCTACATAGTCAATGTGAAAATATTTTATCATGGATCAACTCATTAAGAATTAAACATTATCTGAAAAATGACCGTCAAAATGTTGCTCCTATAAAATTCAGAATTGTAGGATTGTATCACGGACATTATATATACTGGTGACACACCTGAAGAACACACGGTCAGCCAACTACTTTGATCATGTGACTATAAAGAGAAATACTTACTGGCTACATTGATGTTGATGTAATTTTTCTGTTTGTATACAACTTATTAACTGTAACATGTCTTTAATATCATTACACTGCCAGTTGTTGTTACTCATCTTATCTACAAATATATACATAAATATTCATGACCTTAGTATACATAAATATTCATGACCTTAGTATACATGAATATTCATGACCTTAGTATACATAAATATTCATGACCTTAGTATACATGAATATTCATGACCTTAGTATACATGAATATTCATGACCTTAGTATACATAAATATTCATGACCTTAGTATACATAAATATTCATGACCTTAGTATACATAAATATTCATGACCTTAGTATACATGAATATTCATGACCTTAGTATACATGAATATTCATGACCTTAGTATACATAAATATTCATGACCTTAGTATACATGAATATTCATGACCTTAGTATACATAAATATTCATGACCTTAGTATACATAAATATTCATGACCTTAGTATACATGAATATCCATGACCTTAGTTAATGTTACTAATTTTATCTACAAAAGAGAGAGAAATGATGTTTAAGGTTCAATCGACATTCTCTTTGTCACGTACAACCTGGGAATCAAAACCACGCCAGTTGATCACTCAATGACAGAAAGAGAAATAGGGTTTAACGTCCACTCAACACAAATTAAGTCATTTGCCAGGTTCCTGTTAAGGAAATTTGATAATTGACAATGCATGATGCCATCATCGTCTCTAAATTACATAGGCATACACACACATTGAGAGAAATCCAACACCCCGTTTGATGTCAATTTTTATAATGAATTAATAGGATCACATTGTGATTCAATTTCATTGATGCAAAGCATTAATTGTGATATCACATATGTCTATATCATTATCTCGCACTTTGAATGCCAATCCCATCTGATGACAAAGGACAAAGGAAAGAATAAAGCAAACGACCGTTAAAAAGTGTTCTTTTACAAATTTGTTTATGTAGCTGAGCAGGGGGGAGTGGGGGAAGGGGAGGGGTTGGACACTCCCAAAACTCCTTCTGGGTCCGCCCCTGTATAGGCCTACCTTTGATATAAATGAGTCCTAGATTTAAACCAGTTTCTGGTGCTGTTGATAATAAATAATATTTAACACTCTCTAATAGATCTGTTGATTGTAGTTCTCTCCCCTTGACCAGACACTCATCCATACTCGGTAATCCGGCCTGAAAATTACAACATAACTTGACAAAATTATACAGTCCCAACAAATCTGAAAATTACATATTAGACAACTCAACCCTAATCAACCCCTACCTTGCGCCTGATCCGGACAAAAAGACTGATTCAAACTATTGGGATACTCGATTGAACATTCAGGAATTAATTCATTCACTTCCAAAAATAGTGTCAATCGAGTGAAAATGAGAATTTCAGAGTACAACGCCTGTGCTGAGTTAATAAAAAATATCTCAACCAATCATGAGAGCTGAAAAATATTTGTTACTTCAAATACGTCACGTTTCTACTCACACCACCTCAGCTGTCGGAGCTGTCAGAACTGTGACATGGGTGAATTCCATATCACTTGATTGTAATTCTGTCCATTCGGAACAGTCCGGACTGACAATCGAGCACCCCCCTATGTCATATTTGAATAAAGTATATTACCATCAATTGTTTTAATGGCATTAGTAATTGTATTCCATAGAAATGTGACTTGTATATTTTACCATCGATCCTAAAGAGGATAAAAACAGACTAATGTGGATTGTCCTCGCCCACCCCCCACCCACCAATTGCAAAAGTGAAGCTGTAAACCTAGATTAAAAATAAAGAGCTAATTTTTCTACCAGGTAAATTGGACACTTACCTTCGTATGTAATGAATTAATCTCATCCATACTGGCAGCACATCTAATACACACATACACTATAGATCTATCACAGTTAGACATTGTTTTTAACATATCAATAGCTAAATCCCTGAAAATATATACAATGTGTATAACTTTATAAAACAGAATACAAAATTTTCAGATTAACATATTATAATTTACAAAAGATGTATGAGAAAAGTGTTGGCATGCACCTTATGTCCTAAAGGACAGCAGAAAAAATTTTCAACACTTGCGTCCAAATGGCGTATAGATATCTTATCACCCGCCCATCTGCCCAACAGAGTAAGAAAATGTTGACATATTTGCGTTCATGAATCAACATCTAATTATATTATTTTCTATCCGTGGTTTCCTTGTACCCACCGACCAAGTTCCGAGAGGTAATTTGTTTGGATAAGAGACAAGAGAGAGAGAGTGAGAATGGGGTTTAACGTCCACTCGACACAAACTAGGTCACTTCGGGACTAACATATGGTTCAATTTTATTTCAATAATTCGCTTTGCACGTAGGGGTCTTTAACAATGGAGGGAAACCGTAGGACGCGGTGAAAACACACGAGGTTAGACAGGCGACCCTACTCCTTGTCAGTACAACTGGGGAATCTTGTTTGGATGCAAGTGTTTGAAATTGTTTGGAAATCTAACTGAACACAGTATATACAGATGTCAGGATCCATAGAAATTTAAAAATTGTCTTTAAGCATCCGTGAGTGTAAAAGGTAACAGTTTTATATTTCTTGTACATTTGATGAATATAATCGGTACACCTATCATTAAACATGCATTATGCAAGAGCTAAATCTACCTATTGCTGGTCTTTCTTTAGGCCTGAAATGTTATCTAAATTATTAATTAGACATTAATTAACTGATCCAGGCCTTAATCAACTCTCGATGGCATCAGATTTCTCCGATATTAAATAGATTAGAATGGTTCAGTGATACTTTGATTTAATCAAATATGGAGGACCGAGACTTAGCTTCGATCAACCAGTACGGTGGTTGAAATTATTGCACACGTCTGTCAAACCTTCAAAGGCTTATATCTTCGCTTGCAATAGAGTAATTTGAATGAAATTTTCAAATTATTCATTTTACATCATCTACTTTCGAACTATTATAGCAAGAATGGCTAGTTCTTTATCTAAATCTTACATAATGTATCTTTAAGAATGTCCATGTTAGGGTTTAACAGAGATTTATGTGAAAAATGGCGGCACCAAGTCCTAATATGGGAAATCTGACTAAACAGAGTGGAAAGAAGATTAGGAACCACTGTGTTACAAGATAACGGTTTTAAATTTCTCGTACGTTTGATGAATTTAAATTTGAAACATACCATTTTCCTAGTCGTTCACATCTTGTAGATAATAACTGTACAGCGTAATCTACGTATTGTACAACATCACCTAAAACTATACCAACACTGACAGCTAATTCTAACTCATGGCCTCGTATTAACGTTGACATGGCATTCTACAAAATAACATATCTATTAATTATTATCAAAATAATGAAAAGTTAAGCCAAGTAAGCGATGGAGAACTGCAAAATGCATGAACCGACCCATCACTGACTACAAAATAACACATAAAGAAAAGTAAAGTCGACTTTATAATTAGTAGTAATGCTGATAGGATCTTCTTGGACATGGGGAGAGAGTGAGAGATCTTCTTGGACATGGGGAGAGCGGGGGAGAGCGGGGGAGAGCTAGAGAAAGAGCGCGAGAGAGAGCGAGAGAAAGAGAGAGAGATAGAGAGAGTCCAGACAAAACCCATGAGGTTCGGCAGGGAACCCTATTCCTTAGTCACATACAAGTGTGGGGGTTGAAATCATGCCACTTAATGACACAGTTATATCACTCAATGAATCAACGAACCTGATTATTGCCAACAGCTAAATGACAACAAGCAGCTAATGTTGGTGAACCACTTCTATAATATTGTTCACCTAAATTCTCCATTGATTTTATCACAAGTCTAAAATAAACAAACAAACAAATTATGACCTAAATAAACATAACAAACAAAATACAAAATTTGACATACATAAACAAAGAAAATTATCATTTTCTATTCAGTCATTTAGAAAACAGGGTGTGCACAACTCAGAACACTTACACTGTAACCCAGGTATCATTTAAAGATACATTATGGGAGATTTGATAACGAGTTGGTAGTTCTCACTATAATAGTTAAAAACTAGATAACTTAAAGGCAATTTGCTGAAAATTTCAGTCAAATTGATCCACTGTGAACCGAAAACTAAGCGAATGAAATTTCTGCCTAGCCTCGGTCATCATTACTAAAGTCAGTACGAAAAATAGCATAGTCTCGATTATCCATTTAATCGCTTAATCGAGAAGGAAAGTTATGCAGTAAATCGGCTCACAATCCACTTAAGATCGCAGGCTAGCTATGCCATCTAGAGTTGATTATAGTCTAGATAAGTTAATTAATGTCTAATTAATAATTTAGATAACATATCAGGACTAAAGAAAGACCTGTAATAGACAGATTTAGCTCTTGCATAATATATGTTTAATCTTGCGTAATTAACCCGGATTTCTATCACATTCATTCAATATCAAATCGTTTGAAAATTTGTAAAAATTATCTAAAATCAACAAAGATCATCTAATTTGTACTTGTGTCCAGATTAAAGCTGACTGATTCATTTTGCTAATGAGTGTCCATTGTTGTCTCAATAACAGACCTTATGATACAACACACACACGCTAACCATTCGGCCATCCAGCCACCCGACACTTAACAGTTTTTAAGTTGTGTAACAGATACTTACTGCATGGCATCTGAAGATGTCGGACTCTCTTCCGTACAGCCATTAATATACGATGACTCGTTGGTGGACGAAGTAATTTCTGGTGGGTACGAACCCTCAGCAGCAGCTTGCGCCGTTAATATGGCGTCTGATAATTGTCCTCGTTTTGTAAAATATTTCACTAATTGTTTATAATTACCGAGAGCTACACAATACGAAACACAAGATTCAGAATCTTTCTTCACTAAATAATCCGAATACCTGAAATAATATAGAATGATTACACTATTTTGCCAGATTACACTATTTTGCCTATACCGTTTTGTTTTTTTTAGGACTTCGAATTTTGTCTAATGGTTTGGATTGTTCGCACTTGGTTTTATTTTATTTTATAGAATGAAATGAAATGAAATGGGGTTTAACTCCTACTTTTCTGCACCAACTGGGCTAATGAAGATGTGTATACGTTATACAGTGTGTATATAGCTATGAGGGAAATTTTGCCTGGACAGTCCCGCTATGGCCTAAGCTTTGTTTCGAATTCAAACTGTCAAGGGTCTTTTATGTACGTGCACACCAACGTGTACACATAGATCTCATTTTTTGTCTTATCTGAACACCTTTGGCACTGTTCCTTGCCAGGCCCTACTAATATTTACCTTTGTAAAGAGATTTCCAATATTTACCTTTGTGAAAGAGATTTCCAATATTTCATGGATACACCAGGTGCCACAGATAAAGCTTTTTCCCACTAAAACAAATAATTCAAATAAAAATTAGTTTTATTATGGAATTAAAATGACTACCGTTATATGTTTGGTGTTTAAAGACAGTATTGAGATAAGAAGTAAGATAAGATCTTTAATAAGACTGCAAATTCCTTAAAGATTAGATAAAGAGCTGGCAGTTCTTGCTATAATAGTTAGAAAATAGATTATGAAAAGGGAATATGTTGAAAATTTCAGTCAAACTACTTCACTCTACAGAACAGTATAGCATTGATTGTCATTGGTACCGTTATTACGATAATAAACAAAGTCTTTATTATCCATTTTAATGTTAAATCATAAACTGTAAAACATATTTAATTCTATTGAAAATCGGAGCCATTGGATTGCAATTGAGAGTTGATTATGGTCTTGTCATGTTAACAGATATCTAATCTGGCCTTCGACACTATTCCTTTAATTTCATATATATTTCTTATACAGTGGACTCTGTCACATCCGATCTCTGATCACTCCGGATTGCTGTGACATCTGGTATGATTTTCATGTCCCGATTTATTTCCTTATTACTTCAGCCCAAAAATCGCTGGTAAATCCGAATTCTGTATGTTCCGGATTCCGAAATCAATCAGCCGTCCTGTCACATAATTTCCATTGAAACGACACCGTACAATCCGTACTTCAAATGGTGGGTGTGAAGCATCCAATTATCGGTGAGATTAAAACACAATGGGTGTGAAGCCAGAAAAGATTAACAAGTAATCACCAATCAATTATCGGTGAGATTAAAACTCGCAAGAGCCGGTCTGTGTTGATTACTTTGATCGGTAAAGCAGTTAACCCGAGATGTTTTAAGGGAGTGGACAAGATCAACCTGCCAGTCAATTGGTCGGCCAATCGCAAAGCTTGGATGACAGGTGCCGTTTACTTTGATTGGCTTGAAAAACTGGACATAGAACGACAGATTATAAATGAACACGTAACAGAGTGGACAATTGACCGAAGACGGGGACGATGATAAATATACATTAACGACAGACTTGACCTATTCAAAATTCCTACGCATGCTCAACGACATTAAACACTTCGCACAGATTAAGGACGAAAAGATGATCGCAACAATTCATTTGTTAGAAGATGTTGCCCAGGACTCCGCCTTACGATATGCTTCCGGTAATCTTAAGCAAACTACTTTAAACGATTACATGCATTGATATTTATAAATATATTGTACGCATGCATTGATATTACATGTAAACGATTTTATGAATATATTGTACGCATGCATTGTTATTGTTAATTATTTAATATAATAAAATTTTGAAAGTACAGAAAAGTTTATCATTTATAAAGGGAATAGCATTCTGGTGATTCGAAGCTACAATATAAAAATACTTCCGGTTTTCGAAGTTACAGTATTTCCGGTTTTGGAGAAAGCTCGGTATTCCGAAACGGTGTGTGATCCAAATTATTGTAACGATCCCGTACGATGTCGGATGTGACAGAGTCCACTGTATAAACAGTGATTGAAAGTTGAGTAATTTCTTGAGTAAGTTACTGACCTCGCCGACATCCACCATTAGTTCACAGTATCTCTGTATATTACCCAGTTTAATATATATTCTAGCGGCTTCTAATAATCTCTCATCTTTCGACGGGGTTCCAATTCCTCCTCCAAATTTAGACATTTTTATCATCTCTAATTCTTGAGCTTCTGACTGAGAAATAAGTGGAATATTGTTTTACCCAGGAAATAATTGCATACTTTTATTTTAACCCATTTAACTCACGAAAAAAATTGGACTTATTATTGACGTCCTTGAAAACAATCACAGACTCTGAAAGAAGGGGGGGATCACGTAGCTAAGTGGGTAAGACGCTGGCTCGCTAGCCTGGAGGTCGGGTGTTTGATCCCTGCATTGGCCGAGAAAGTTCATCCAGATTTTCCGGCGTGTTTCCCCTTGTCAGTGATGCAGGACGGAGGGGCTGACAAGGACAGCTGTCTAGTCGTTCGGATGGGACGAAAAACCGAGGTCCCGTGTACACATTGGCGTGCACGTTAAAGATCCCTTGACAGTTGGAATTCGATATAAGAGTAGGCCGTAGTGCCGCTGTCCGGGCAAAATTTCCCTCATAGCACACTGTATGGCGTATGCCCGTCTTCATTAGCCCAGTTCGGAGCAAAACAGTAGGACGTTAAACCCCATTTCATTTCATTTCATTTCATACGAACAACTAGATGCTGGTCCGTGTCAGGCGATCTGTCCTGCACAACTGACAAGGAAAAAAACTACACTGGATAATCCTGCGGATCAACCATGGGATTGGGGATTGAAACCACGCCACTAGACTCAATGATCAAATGTGCACACATGTTAAGACCACTCGACACCACCATCCCACCCACCCCCAACCCACATAGTTTAAAATAAAGTAACTTACAGATTTATATAACGTCAGATGTTTGATGTGCATGATACCGTGTTTATATTGGTCTGATAATAACGAGTCACTTAAACCATTAACTACAGATACAAGTTCCCATAGATTTATAGTCCCCTGTGGTTGCTGAAATATATAACAACATAGATTTACAGTCCCCTGTGGTGTTTAAATATATAATAACATAGATTTACAGTCCCATGGGGTTGCTGAAATATATAATAACATAGATTTACAGTCCATTGATTATGGTCTTGTTTTGTTAATAATAATTTAGATAACATTTCAGGTCTAAAGAAAGACCTGCAAATAAGCAGATTTACCTCTTGCATAATGTATGTTTAAAGGAGCTAAGTCGCTAATATTCGGGACCTAGAAATTGACACAAATGGGTCGCAAGCATACAATAATGTAATATGAATGTACATAAATTGATTTACATTCAATCGTTTCTGTTTTTACTCTAATTTCTAATCAGTTAGGTTCGGCGAAATGCGCCAGTATTCTCAATCGAATTTCAATCTCTAGCGTCTGGTTATTCCAGTCTACGGCGATAGTATTTATTGGGTTAGCTCTCCAGATAAGAATAAAGTGTCACAGTTATACATGACTTGCAAAATATGCCTAACCTCGCTTTTCGAGTCCCTTATTACAAATAGCGCTGAAACGCATTATGGTACACGATTCGTGTACCAATGGTAAAATGTTTATTTTGTCTTGAATATTGGATATCAGAAGGCCATCTTTTTCCCGGTAAGATCATAACATCAATGTTTATTTAAACCGACAAATAAATCGTGTTTTCAATATCGAAGATTTTGGATGATATTGAGTTAGAGACTTAGCTACTTTAAGTGTGAGAACTCAGGGCCGGGTTTTTTTGTTTAATCTATTGAAAGAAGGGATTAATAACAACATTGCTATTAAAATCATCCTGTTTTAACTGACTTCTAGTTGACTTACCATAAAGAATTTAGAGAAGAGTTGAAGTTTGGAAGCGAGGTTATTTTTTGTCAGTTCTTCTATCTGTTGTTTCAGTTCTTTAGAAGCTTTACCAGTTAATAATGGTGGTGTTCCTAAACTCATCGCACTTTCTGTAATAATATTACATCAATATACCATATAATATTACACCTATATACCATATAATACTAAGTTCCCACTAGCTTGGGAACATACTGAGTTGAGATGTCAAATGATTTTAATTCTGTCCTACGAGTAAATAATAATAGTCTATATATTTAGATTGTGCAATATCCATGCATAAGTACTACGGCCTACTCTTATATCAAATTCCAACTGTCAAGGGATTTTTTACTTGCACGCCAATGTGTACACGGGACCTCAGGTTTTTCGTCTTATCCGAATGAATAGACAGCTGTCCTTGTCAGGCCCTCCGAATAAATACAAGAGTTCTATCGATCAACTATTACTGTATTTTAATTGAAGCTACGTTTATACAATGATTCTAGTGTTATCTACAGATCTTAATTCAGGTCCTAGCAGGAGTGTACGAATGTCAGAGATATTTGAACATTTAAATACCGATTTAAGGCTGCGTAGAAGACTGGAACAAGGATCTGATCTCATGCTAAACATAGGCCCGGAATTTTAACGGCACTATCTGGATAAATCTGCACTGGAAATTTCTGTAGATTCCAATTTCTGAATATGAGAACTCAATCCATGGATGAGCTATAAACATAAGAAACGTTACCTGGTGTTCCGATGACATCCGTCCACTGTTGGCTACATATAAGGTTTAATTGTATTGGTTCAATTAATGAGGTTAAGGACCACAGCCTCAGTGTGGAATCACGCGAACAAGAGGCTAGAATAAACGGTCGGGATGGATGGCACGCTAATCCTGAAATTATCAAAGAAAGACAACGATTTACCATTAAGTAAAATAAGTACAGGGCATCAAGGGGCATCACACAAATTTACCATTGCCAGATCTACCAAGGATCATCCCTTCGATTCAAAATTACAAATGGAATGGATTACAAAAAGTCCCTCTGAGCCGTGATTTTTTCTACAGAATGACACAAGGCAAACGGGAGGCCTAACAGAAGCAGCCATGTTACATAAAATTAGTTTGGAAGATCTGATCAAAGAATTTGCAATTTCAAAAAGTCAGAGAAATTTTCAAATATAAATAAAGTGACAGTACCAAGGATAAAGATTATTTTTTATCTTTATCTCAGTTTTATTTACTTTTATTTTATAGTTTATTATTGCTTACATTTTGAATTATATACCTTATGGGGGTACAAAAATCTTCTAAGTGCTTAGGGCCTCTAGAGCTGGGTTTACATTTGGCTTTACGTAAAAACGTTCCAGAAATTTCACCGTTTACATTACTATGCTATAACTGTTATCGGAACTGTGCATGGCACGCTAAATATGAAACTCTTCACAGAAAAGTTAATTTCAGTCACAGGAAAAATGGTCAAACTTAATACCAAATCTGTACTGAGACCGGCAATTTAACGTGACATACTAAGAATGGTGCCGAGACCACCTCACTTCAGGTGTCCAGATTGGCATGGTTCTCAGTACGGCACTGTAAGTACAAAAAAATTAACGGTTTCATTCTCTGAAAGTTGAAATAATGGTACGAGCAATGTGCCAAGTGTACATTATTTATACTACTTGAAATATTGGACCCACGTGACGTATTTCATTGAAATGCACGTGCTGGATAGTGTCTGTATTTTAAGTTGTTTAATGGCCTCGTGCAAGACATTGCGTAATGTATAGATATAGCCTCCGTGCAGTATCAATATATTGCTTCATGTCTTGCCCTCGACCATTAAACTGGCCCTGGTCTTGGACATTAGATTCAAGAAAAATATAAAATTCCTACCATAAACATCAGCACCATGATCACAGACGGTATCTATACAGGCGCCATCTCTAGTATCCCAGACTCTAATAGACGAGTCCCAACTACCAGACACCAGTATATATGGTACCTCTGAGCTCCACATCAACCCCCGTACAGGACCTTCATGGCCAGACAATACATTAATACATTGTTCTTTCGTATAATCCCATATTCTTATCGTGCTAAAATATATAAAACATTCTTCTAAAATATATAAAATATTGTCCTAAAATATATAAAATATTGTCCTAAAATATATAATATTTTGTTCTACGATAATAAAACATTGTTCTACAATAAGATTTTGTTCTAAAATATACAGAATAACGATATATAGGCTGACACAAAGTTGAAATGAGGTGCATATGGGCTAAATGGTTGCTTCCAGTTATTATCAATGATATAGAGAGAGAGAGAAATGGGGTTTAACGTCCACTCGACACAAACTAGGTCATTTCGGGACTAACATATGGTTTTTAATTTTATTTACATAATTCGCTTGCGCGTAGGGGTCTTTAGCAGTGGGAGGAAACCGGAGGACCCGGAGAAAACCCACGAGGTTGGACAGGCGACCCTACTCCTTGCCACGTACAACCTGGGATTCGAAACCACGCCAGTCGACTCAATGACAGACTTTATGATACAGCGCGCGCACGCTAACCATTCAGCCATCCAACCCCCCATCAATGATATAGGGTTTAATGTTCTATTTTTCGGCACCGACTGGGCTATTTAAGACGAGAATACGTGATACAGGGTATAATGAGTGAGATGTTTTGCCTGGAGAGGGGTTCTACAGCCTACCCTTATATCGTATTTCAAGTGTCAAGGGTTCTTTTACGTTCATACCAATGTGTTTACGAAACCAAAGGGACTATATATAATAACTAAAAATAACGTACTGATCATCGGCACCACTACATAAAATACCTTCTCTTAATGGTGACCATCTTATATGAAATACTTTCGCTGTATGACCTACAAAATATATAAATATATATCATCTTTACACAAAATTGATTGAGAAATTAAATGCTTGTAAATTGGACATTCATTATCAAAATTGGACACAAGTACAAATTATATGATTTTGGGTGATTTCAAACAATTTTTATGAATTCATCAAAAAAGATTTGATATTGAATAAATATGAAAGAAATTAGTGCTAAATACACAAGATTAAATAACATCTGGATTACAGTGTTAATAGCTCAAATAGAAATGAAATGAAATGGGGTTTAACGTCCTACTGTTCTGCTCCTAACCTGGGCTAAAGAAGACGGGCATACGCCATACAGTGTGCTATGAGGGAAATTTTGCCCGGGCAGCGCCAATGTGTACAAGGGATCTTTTACGTGCACGCCAATGTGTACATGGGACCTCAGTTTTTCATCCCATCTGAACGACTAGACAGCTGTCCTTGTCAGGCCCTCCGTCCTGCATCACTGACAAGGGAGAACCACGCCGGAGAAGCTTGAATAGAGCAGAAAAGCACCACATTAAACTACATTTTACTTGTAGTAATATAACGAAAGGACACAAGTCATTTAAATTCGGTATAGATAGATACCTGAGAAAGGACACAAGTGTAGAAATAGATACCTGAGAAAACTTTCAGTGGTTGATCAGAGCTGGACGTAATGTAATATACTCGAACTTTCTTATCTTCACACCCTGTAGCCAACATATCTCTATTAATATAAATAATAACATCTAATATATCTCTAGTAATATTTCTAGATTATAAAGTAAAGGTTATATTCCCCAACCAACAAATGTGACAAGACTGTATAGTAGTTTTAATCCAGGACGCGTTTCGGACACCAGCCCTTTATCAACTGGCTAGAGAAATAATCCCGAAACGCGTCCAGGATTAAAACTATTCTACTTCTACTATACAGTTGTGTCAAGTTTGTTGCTTGGAGAGTATTACCTTTCCTTTCTTAACGTTATTTTCGGTGTATTAGGCACACTTTTTTTACAAAAAATTTTATTTTCTAGAAGCAAAACCAACCGTAGAGATTCGATCTTGTCTGCACTGTACAGGGATTGATCCACCCATCGACAGTACTTCTAGTAAGGAGTAAATTCGTCACTGTCTTGGATTTTATTTATAATTTCTAGATTACTTACTTGTTATGTGGACTCCAGTCACATCCATAAACAGCTGAGGGATGTTTATATTTCTGTACTAATTTACCATCTAGCTGTCGTATAATACTAAAATCATAAAATATTTAACACACATTAATTAGCTGTCGTATAATATTAAAATCATAAAATATATTAAAGGGGGACAACTATATATGGGCTTATAAAATGAGAGAGAGACAGAGAGAGACAGACAGAGAGAGAGAGAGAGAGAGAGAGGGGGAGGGAGGGTCTTTAGCAGTGGGAGGAAACCAGAGGACCTGGTGAAAACCCGCGAGACCGGACAGACGCCCCTACTCCTTGTCACATACAACCGGGGAATCGAAAGCACGCCAGTTGACTCAACGACAGACCTCATGATACAATGCTAACGCATTAACCATTCGGCCACCCAACCCCTCACAATAAAAATGAGGGATATTGAAATGAGCTTGTTCCGTCTGGCCTTCAGGATTAGTCTCATGTGCATACATGTATCTCATAAACTTTTCTTGATATCAAACTTTGTAGACAAATCAACCATTTATAGCAGTTGTGTCTTTAGCTAATTCATTTTTGCGTTTCCGTGAAAACAAATCTGATTTAATTTTTAGTTTACAAGGACACATGATGTTGGTGTAAGATCTTTACTCAATACATGTTTTCTTTAATTCATCATTACAAGCCCTGAACTGCACAGCGCAGTGGAGGCTCACAGCTGGCCCCCGGATCCATTCACTTAATTTGATAATTGTTGTTTATTTGTTTTGTTGCAATGTCTGTCTAGTACATGTATGTCTTGTCCACAGGTTTGTCTTATTGGTTGGTTTTGTGTGCAGTGTGGTCCTCCTGTACTTTCCATTATAATCCAATGAACTGGTAGTTCAAATATCATATGTCCTCCAGTGTGTACTTTTGAACAATTTTTACAAACCTTGCCACAAAAAAAGCACATTAAGGGTAGATAACTCTGTAATATGACCCTAGTGCAATATTATCTTCCCTTAGACCTTTGTGATTTTCAGATTTATGATCCACCACTTAGTTACTGTTACTATGCTCTACAAGCTTTACCATTCACTTCCAATATGGCGTCCGAAAAAGAGCAGCAGTACTGATTCTAGGCATCGCATTCTTGAAGATAATGTCCAGTCGACACAAACCAGGTCATTTCGGGACTAACACATGCTTCAATTTGATTTCAATAATTCACTTGCGCATAGGGGTCGTTGGCAGTGGGAGGAAACCGGATGATCCGGAGAAAACCCATGAAGTTTAACAGGCAACCCTACTCCTTGTCACGTACAACCTTGGAATCGAAACCACGCCAGTTGACTTAATGACAGACCTTATGACACAGCGTGCACACGCTAAGCATTCACCCATCCAAACTCCACCCCCCTCAAAATAAAGATTACAGATGAGTTAATTTTAAATATATAATACCAAGGTGGTTCATACATATATATTAATATCAATAGTATGTATCAATAACATTTTGTTTAGAAACTTACCAGTAACCATCAGCCCCACAAGACATCAGATGTCGAGAATCTTTGGGATTCCATGCCACAGAATAAACACAACATTTACCATGCTGTTAAAATATAGAAATTATTTCAATAAATAAATTTGTTCATTCTTGTCAATATGAAAGTTTGACAAAAATTGTTTCGTGTAACTATATGAAGATTCAAATGAACGGAGGGAACCACGGTGGCTCAGTGATTAAGACGCTGGCTCGCTAGCCTGGAGGTGGCGGGTTCTTTCCCGGTATTGGCCGATAAAGTACATAGTAGTCAGTGGTGCAGGACAGAGGGCCTGACAAGGGCAGCTGTCTAGTCGTTGGGATGCATGTAAAAGATCCCTTGGCAGTTGGAATTTGATATAAGAGTAGGTCGTAACGCCGATGTCCAGGCAAAATTTTCCCATAGCAAACTGTATGACGTAAGCCCGTCTTTATTAGCTCAGTCGAAGCAGAAAAGTAGACATTAAACCCCATTTCACTTAGGTTTCCAAATGAACGGACAGGAAACTGGTCTTCCAGGATTAGAGAAAACATCTTGTTGTGTGAATGGAAACAGTATATGGGTCTATAGTGAGGTGGGGTATAATGTGCACTTGACACACGCTAGGCCATTTTGGGACTAACATATAGTTTAATTTTATTTCAATAATCGGCTTGTGTGAAGGTTTTTTTTTTAACAGTGGGAGAAAACCGAATAAAACCCACAAGGTTTGACGAGTGACCCTACAAGCTGGGAATCAAAACCACGCCACTTGGCTCAATGACAGATCATTTGGCCATGCCCCTGGATCCTGCTTTGTGTATGACACTATGACAACTAAAAGGGACAATAAGGGCTGATATGGTAATCCTCTCTCTCTCTCTCTTTTTGGTAAACAAAAACATTTGAAGGAAATATCTTTACACCTTTGCTGAAAAGTAACTTTACTAATCAATTCCTTACCTCGGTAAATCTTTTAATAATTTTTGTGCGGTTGATATCCCAGACAAATACCCCATTTTTTCCTGTACATCCAGCGATACAGTTTAAATCCCCAGGTGCCCATGATATATTATATATAATACCTTCATTACCTGCAGATGTATGTACCTGTAATAATACAATATAACAGATGTATGTACATGTACCTGTAATAATACAATATAACAGGTGTATGTACCTGTAATACAATATAACAGGTATATGTACCTGTATTAACACAATATAACCAGGGTTGTCGGTAATTTTTCACAGTTGATTAGCAGCACTGCTAATCAAAAAGTCCAATTTTGCCAAATTTGATTAGCAAATTTAAAAATTGATTAGCAGTTTTTCAGTTTCAACATAAAAACCTAAATAACAAGATATTACTTTAGTTCATAACAAATATGATTAGATTCCATTCTTACTATTCTTAGATTTTTTTAGCACTGCCACAAGTACTTGTGACAGTTTGTGAATGTGATGTAGACATTTAGTTAGGTCTTATGTCTGATGCCAATTCTTAACAGTGACTTCCAAGGCCCCAATCATTTTAATTGTTATTTTTTGTTACGTTAGAAATCTTCGTTAGAAAACAATTTCGTCTGCTTTTTATCGTGTATTGCTATTTTTGTTCAATCGGGCACACCTCGATTAACTAGGCACACGCGATATTTTACGGGAATTTTTACTTTGATTTATCATTTACAATACGTTAACATATATTTATTTTTTTATATTTTATTTACAATACGTGGGGGATACACTGGATTTATTTCTTTCAAAATGAATATAATATAATTACTTGATGTCTCGCAACGTGAGTGGTACTACTTGATTCCCTATTTCCGGTTTAATAGTCCCTATTCATAGAGTTATGTCCCTGTATTATATAGTACCGTATAATGAATTGTGTCTGGGTAGTTCGAAAAAAAAATGTCACACAGAGAATTCAGTTTTGTTTATAAAATTTTATTCAACATTTTATACACGTTGAAAGTGTTCAGAAAGCCTTCTAGTCTTCAAATGTGGATTATCCTTGTGTCAATATCCAAAATGACAGTCATATTAATGATTCGCAGTTACTGCGAATCAAAAACTTTAGATTTTAATTTTTGATTAGCAACGGACAAAATATGTATCGCAAATTGCGCTGCGATACTGGTTGTCGGCAGTCCTGAATATAACAGGTGTATGTACCTGTAATAATACAATATAACAGGTGTACATGTATGTACCTGTAATAATACAATATAACAGGTGTATGTACCTGTAATAATACAATACAACAGGTAATAACATTGTATAATTTGTATTGTTTTATTGTTTATTCACCTATTTCTTATATATATATATCCATATGTATTCTTGTATGAGGAGGCTAATCTGTGTAGGACAAAATGACCCAAAGGAACAGTACCCAACTTATTCAGCCAGGGCCCAAATGCAAACTTAATCCGGTCATGGCTTGTAGGGTATTAATATCTGACTTACAGCTTGTAGGGTATTAATATCTGACTTACGACCTGTAGAGTAACTTGCAACATGTAAAGTATTTATATCTGACTTACAGCTTGTAGAGTATTTATATCTGACTTACAGCTTGTAGAGTATTTATATCTGACTTACAGCTTGTAGAGTATTTATATCTGACTTACAGCTTGTAGAGTATTTATATCTGACTTACGGCCCGTAGAGTAACTAGCAACATGTAAAGTGGTTATATGTGAACTTACAGCTTGTAGTGTATTTATATCCCAGATTTTAACTGTTCCATCAAAACTACCAGAAGCCAACCAATCAGGATTATCTGGTTTAAATTTACAATCAAATATTGTCTCTATATGACCCTAGAAAAATAATATAAATATCGTCTCTATATAACCCTATAATTATCATCTCTATATGACCCTAGAAAAATAATAGAAATATCGTCTCTGACCCGATAAATATCGTCTCTACATGACCCTAGATAAACATTATAAATATCTTCTTTGATAGGCATAATTGAACATATTAACACAAGGTACAATTTTATGGATACACAATTACTGAGTTTAATACTAAGCAACGTTTCGACGAGGAAACTCTCGTCTGTATCGTTTTTATTGCATATTCTGTATATATTTGTCTAATATTCACAGATTTATATTATTTGCTTCATAAAGACGGGAGTATCCTCATCGAAACGTTGATTAGTATTAAACTTAGTAATTGTTGTATGTCCATAAAATTGTACCTTGTGTTAATATAATATCGTCTCCATATGACCCTAGTAAAATAATATAAGGCCAAATAAAAAAAAAATATTTCAGTTCTCCGATACTACTGCGTCATTTAAAAGGAGCCAAAAGACTTTTTTTTTTTTTTTTTGAAAAATAAAAAATAAAAATGATATCATTAAGTACTACATGGTAATGTTTTACCCGGATAACACAAAATAACTCTTTATAAAATTCAATATGATTAAAATACAGATCTATATTTTGTTTCGTTTTTTTATACTTTCGATGGCCTACACTACATGAAGATCTGACAAGTTATAGCGATAGGTTGCGTCAGAGGTTTACAAGCGGCTTTTGACCCTATGATGTCAGACATTTGATTAACCAATCAGTACTGATATTACTAGTGGATCACCCTCAGTTTCGTACAAAACACACCTAACGCTCGCCGTAACAGACCATTTCATTAGCTAACCCCCCACACCATTCAGAACACGTCAATGATAACAACTCTTCCAGATCCTAGTGTAGTAAAGACAAGTAAAACAAAATTTTGAACTATAAAAAGGAAACGAAATAAGATCTGTGTTTTAATCAGATTGCATAAAACTATAATGAATACGGAAATGTACCATAGACTCAATTATCACATATGCAACCATGATAAATGTTTCTCTCCTCCCTTTCCCTTTCACTCACCTGATCACGGAGGAAGTTCCATTTTCTACGCCCCAGATCGTAAAGACCAACACCACCGTCGAGAAATGTACAAACGACCCGCGCTGGTGGTAGAGCAAATCTTGTATGTGTCGTTGATGTAGGAGCCAGGGTTTGACTCGTTGAGGAGATATGATTAATCGTAGTTTCCGCGACTTCCTCTTCTTCGTCTAAACTATTATCAACAGACGACTCGATAACCTGCATGGCGTGAAACCCTGTCTGCTTAACTTTAATATTCTCAATCGGCGTCATTTTAGAAACATTCCACAGTCTGAGGATACCACCACGAGAATCTAAAAATAGAACAATATATATAAAACAGTCTGAGGATATCGCCACGCGAATCTAAATATAGATCAATATATAAAACAGTTTGAGGATACCACCATGAGAATCCCAAAATAGATTATATACATTGTGGATACCACCATGAGAATCTAAAAATAGATTATATACATTGTATATAAAACAGTCTGAGGATACCACCACGAGAATCTAAAAATAGATCAAACAAATATAACCTATATACAAAACATATAAATCCAGAATTGTCTGCGAGAGAGAGAGAAATGGAGTCACGTACAATTATTTCAATAATTTGCTTGCATGTAAGGGTCTTTAGCTGTGAGAAGAAACCCATGAAGTTGGACAGGCAACCCTAATAATTGTCACATACAACCAGGGAATAGAAACCATGCCAGTTGACTCAATGACAGATCTTATGATACAATGCGCATGCACTAACCATTTGTCCACCCAACCCCCCTTCACCAGATTGGAATATAGAGATACATGTAAAAGGAAATCGAACAGATCTAACAGCTATCATATCTTTAATGCAGCGATTTTTGTTCTGAAATAAAACACGTAAGACCCACCTCCAGTGACGAACATCCCAGGTGCATTGGGTATCCACGCTAGGCTCTGAATATGAGCAGCCGCGCTGGGTAACTGGAACATCATAATGACATTAAGACTAGCTGTATCTACTAGTCGCACACCAAAACGTTTATTGGCTATTAATAGATATTCCATAGACAGAGGATCCCATTCTAACGAGGTAACGGGATCCTCCTCCTCATCGTCGTCATCAGGGTCAGGTTGAAATATATGTTTCTGACTTTTAGATCCTGAAACAGAAACATTCATTAAAAATTAAATAGTTAAAAAATACATAATGTAAAGGGAATATGCTGAAAATGTCAGTCAAATTACTTCTTTCTGAACCAGTTCCTGTTACCGCTCTCACGATTATCCATTTTTGCGGTTAATCATCAATGGGCGTTTAACAGCAGATCGGATTCAAATCCATTGAAAATCGGACACTTAAGATGACATCGTGAGTTGATCATGGTCTTGTCATGTTAATAAATGTCTAATTACATGTAATAGTTTATATAACAATGCAGGCCTGCAATAGGAAGACTTAGCTCTTGCATAATCTAATCATAATAAAAAAAGTACAACAGCAGACTCTGTAGGAACTGGAAAATCCAGGGGATCTTTCTCGAGAAACACCGAGATTGAACCCCAGACCTCCTTGTTAGTGAGTCACTGCCTTACTCACTGAGCCACTGCTTATATGTTCCATGCAAGAGGTGAATTGTGTCCATTTCAAACTGCAAAGGGATCTTTAACATTCACTTATCATTTAATACACATAACATCTGGCTTTATTTCTTCATACATTAGAACGCTTAACACACTGTTCTAGACAGTGTTGAAATTGAGCGATACACTAAAGGGAGATTACTCTAAAACATATTTACATACCTAATAAACATACAGATATACTTCCATCTTCATGGCCGAATGCCACTTTACCCACGTTTTTACGGTGCCATCGGAACTGACAGACGTTGGAAACAAAATTCTGGGTCTCTTTAACCGGGACTACTTGTTTATTGGTGTTGTGATACCATAAGTAAAGAGGTCCACGTCCTGAAATGAACGCCACACAATCTAACTCGTGGTAACTCCAATTCACAGATCTCGGTAACTCACGAGTGTTTTCTAACACTGCTATCTTTTTCTGCTTGGCAACATCCCACACGATGATTTGGTGATCAGCGCTGGAACTAGCAATGACATTTCTGTCACGTGGATTCCAGGATATTGCCGTTATGGTTTTTTTATGTTCTGACATAATGGACACCAACTTGAACTCGTTAAATTTAACGTCCAGCTGCAAGAGAGAAGAAAAGGATAAAAGATAGGTTGCCTGGCAACGAAATATACGCCCACGGCAGCTAAATCATCCGAACCATCAACAAGGCTTGTCTCATATTTATTCTTGTGCTTGTAACGGGGATATTTACTCGACACTGATATCAATGTCCTACAATCGGATGAGGTCTGTCATTGAGTCAAGTGGCGTGGTTGTGGTGACAAGGAGTTGGGTCGCCTGTCCAACCTCGTGGGTCCTCCGGTTTCCTCCCACTGGTAAAGACCCCTACGTGCAAGTGGATTATTGAAATAAAATTGAACCATATGTTAATCCCGAAATGACCTAGTTGTGTGTGTGTGTCTATTATCCTACAATCGGATAATAGATACAGCCTGTGGGCGTATAAAAAATGTAAGTTACATTCAATTAAAGCTCACAGGAATAGCTTCAAAAATCATTTAAATAATGCAAGTATAATTATGTCAACATATCCTTTCCATAACTTTCCTCCAATAAACAAGCTGTGAGGTAATTCTAGTCCTTCTGCTCATATTCTAGTCAATACATGTATTTCTATGAGCAGAAGGATTAAAATTACATCACAACTTTTTTATTGGCGGAAAGTTATGACTACTCACGGAGAACGGCTAAAATCGCTAACTTTGAAATTTACCTGTTTCAATTAATATTGACATTCAGGATCGTGTTATACTTATGGAAAGGATATGTTGACATAATTACTTGCATTATTTAAAGTGGGAGAGAAAGAAATGGCCTTTAACATCAACTCGACACAGATCAGGTCATTTCGGGACTAACATGCGGTTTAATTTTATTTTCATGATTCGCTTGCCCGTAGGGGTCTTTAGTAGTAGGCAATCTGATTAAAATACAGATTCTATTTCGTTTCGTTTCATTTAATTTATAGTTCAAAGTTTCGTTTTACTTGTCTTTACTACATTAGGATCTGGAAGAGTTATTATCATTGACGTGTTCTGAATGATGTGAGCTATTAGCCAATGAAACAGCCTGTTAGGGCGACCTTTAGGCGTGCTTTGCACAGAACTGTGGGTAATCAACTAGTAATATCAATGCTGATTGGTTAATCCAATGTCTGACGTCATAGGATCAAAAGCCGTTCGTATGACCTGTGACGGGAGCTAGCGCTACAACCGGTCAGATTTTCATGTAGTGTAGGTCATCGAGCAAAAATGTGATCTAACATCTTTGGGATGGTTGCACCTAATCAAAATGGACATAACTGTCAAAGAAACATAACAGTGTTCACATTCTGGTTGAGGCTCACGATTTAAGATGAAAATGTGTATTAACAAGCCAACAGTGAGGCAGATGTCCCCCGCAGAAATCCAAAAATAAATAGATGACACATATTAATTAATCGCACATTCATTTTTTTCAAAAGTATCGAGCAATCAAACTATACACTAAGTTTCATCACTCTCTATCAGATAGAATCAAGATTATCTTGTCCTAAAGCATCGACCAATGAAATTGATTAGCTCTGCTTAGCTTCAGCTCGAAATGTTTATCATTGAACTCCATCAAGGCATTCACCTAATGAACGCCTACACCTAAATTAGAAGAGGTCTCGACCAATCAAATTGCTTATCGCTCTACTTAATTAGAACTCAAGTTATCGTGTCCCAAAGCATCAACCAATCAAATTGCTCATCTCTGCTTACCGTAAGCAGAAAATGCTCATCTTCGAACTTCATCAAGGCATTGACCTAATAAACACCTACATGTACACCAAGTTTGAACATTCTAGCTCAATTAGAAAGAGAATTATTGTGTCCCAAAAAGTGTGAGGGACAGATGGACAGACCGGCGGACAAACCCATTTTAATAGTTAACATGTACAGCGTTAACGTGTAAAATGGTTGCCTAGCAACCTAGTTGTTTGGATGGTTCACATACATGTAATAAAAGAACTAAATTCTCCTGAACTCTGGGGTTGATGAGATATCAAACTCAATTTCTTTGCTTTCTGTTTTTGGTAAACTATGTTAAAGATAAAGAGCTGACCATTCTTGTTATAATAGCTCAAAAATAGATACATGTAATGTAAAATGAAAATATTTAAAATATTATACAAATTACTTCATTCTGAGCCAAGTTATCACTTTTTGTAGTTTTGACAAGATGTGTGCATTGTGTTAACCAGGGCACTGGTATATTCGAGACATAGCCTCACTTTCCCATTTTTTAAATTAAATTTTTAAATGGCGAACCGTTCTAATCTAGTTAAAATCTTGAGTATGCCATCTAGAGTTGATTATGGTCTGGATAAGTTAATTAATGTCTAATTAATAATTTAGATAACATTTCAGACCTAAAGAAAGACCTGCAATAGGCAGTTTTAGCTCTTGCATAATGTATGTTTAAAGAATTTTCATGTAAAAAATAAAAATCTTTTCAAAGAAGAAACTCGACATTAATTCATTACCTACAGTAACAATCACTTCATCATCTAAAGGACGACTGACAAGCAGACATCACAAGAAGCGAATTAACTAATCAATTTTAATTACTGGATTACATGTATCTTGAATACATGGGAAATGAAATGAAATGAAATGGGGTTTAACGTCCTACTGTTCTGCTCCTATACTGGACTAATAAAGATGGGTACACAGTGTGCTATGAGGGAAATTTTGCCCGGGCAGCAGCACTATGTCCTACTCTTATATTGAATTCCAACTGCCAGGGGATCTTTTACGTGCACGCTGATGTATACACGGGATACGAATGACTAGACAGCTGTCCTTATAAGGCCCACCATGAATACATGGGAAGACAATGAAAAAAAATGATGTTTCATAGCATGTCAGCACCAATTTTGCCCCAAACATGTTTATCAAACAGACAAAACTGTATCACAGAATCATTAAATAAATTTCCAACGTCAAAAAAACAAATGAAATGAATTGGGGTTTAATGTCCCACTGTTCTGCTATCAAAAAAAAAATCAGCTACTACTAGTAAATAACTATAAATACATGTGGGAGGTGTCAACAAGTCAAACACTAGGTCATTTTGGGACTAACATTATAGACTAAGGGAAGACTACTATTAAAATGTATTTGCCAAATCCATGCCACTTGAGTTTATGACAGACAGACCTTAGACTAGTAGACCAATCAACTTGTCTCATAGGGGCGGATGGTTAACGTGTGTATCATAAGATCTTTCATTGAGTCAACTGGCGTGGATTCGATTCCCCACTTGTACGTGACAAGGAGTAGAGTCGCTTGTCCAACCTTGTGGGTTTTCTCCAGGTCCTCCAGTTACTTCCCACTGCTAAGGGTTATGGTTAGGGTGTTCTCATCCATATAAATCTCGGCCATCCGATGGTCTAAAGAGATGTCTATAGGCTTGTCATGTGAATAAATGTCTAAATAGAGAGAGAGAGAGAAATGGGGTTTAACGTCCACTCGACACAAACTAGGTCATTTTGGGACTAACGTATGGTTTAATTTTATTTACATAATTCGCTTGCGCGTAGGGGTCTTTAGCAGTGGGAGGAAACCGGAGGACCCGGAGAAAACCCACGAGGTTGGACAGGCAACCCTACTCCTTGCCACGTACAACCGGGGATTCGAAACCACGCCAGTCGACTCAATGACAGACTTTATGATACAGCGCGCGCACGCTAACCATTCAGCCATCCAACCCCCCATGTCTAAATAAAGACCTGCAATAGGAAGATTTAGGTCTTTCATAATGTGTGTGGGGGGGGGGTGGCCGAATGGTTTGCGTGTGCACATTGCATCATAAGGTCTGTCATTGAGTGAAATGGGGTGGTTTCGATTCCCCACTAGTTGTGCATGACAATGAGTAGGGTTGCCTGTCCAACCTCGTGGGATTTATCTGGGTCCTCCATTTTCCTCCCTCTGCTAAAGACCCTTACACACTAACATATTAATAACATAAAATTTAAAATATGTCAATCCCGAAATGACAGAGTTTGTGTCGAGTCTCTCTCTCTCTCTCTAAATGGAAGAATACAAGGTAAGACTATCATTAAAATGTGTTTAGTCTTGTTTACATTTCCGCTTGATTGTCATTTATTTGTTGTTAACGGCCTGAAGCATGGAAAAATATAAAAACACCATCTAATTGTTCAGTTATTGACAACCTGCCTCCACGGTTGCCAAGCAGAAACAAAACATTATATATTGACTTACCTCATAGATATATATCGCCATGGTTGCACAATATGCAAACCTGTCCTCACTAGAAGCACAGACATCGTGATTCCACGGCTGACAGCCGGCAGACAACAAACCCACCTGCTTTACCATTTTTCAAGATTGTTTGTTCCGTCTGCACACTGGGTCAGCAACTAACGTCTGCTACTCAAGCAAAGCCAGAAATATAGTGCAACATCTGTAAAATCAATATAAATGTTTACAGCTGGACTAACATGAATAATCAAGTGATTAGGAAGTTTGTTTTTATTAAGAATTTTAAACATACATTATGCAAGAGCTAAATCTGCCTATTGCAGGTCTTTCTTTAGGCCTGAAATGTTATCTAAATGATTAATTAGACAATAATTAACTTATCCAGACCATAATCAACTCTCGATGTCATCGCTAGCCTGTGATGTTTATTGGATTAGGTTCCGATTTGCTGTTCGACTTCCATTCATGATTTAATCAGGAAATGGATAATCGAGACTATGTTTTTTATCGTACCGACTTTAGTAATGATGATCAAGGCTAGGCCGAAAATTCAATCGCTAAAATCTTGGTTCAGAGTGGATCAATTTGACTAAAATTTTCCGGAAATTCCCTTTAGATTATATAGTTTTTAACTATTATAGTGAGAACTGCCAGCTCTTTATCTAATCTCCCATAATGTATCTTTAATTCCGAAGCCGAGAATTATACAAGTACATGTATATACAACTCCTTAAAATCAATAACTAAAGTTAATGAGGCAGAGATTGTCACTTGTATTTTCAAGACTTACATGTACATGTAATCAAGTCAGAGTTTTCTTTATTAAGCAAGTCAGCCTAAAAAAAAGCTTTTCTTAATTTGTGAAAGTCCAGATTCAATCTCCTAAAATCACTCTCCCAGTTTGGACATTTCGTAAATACATGTAAGGAGAGCTACGTTGTATATCATAAGTGGAGCGATTCATTTTATTCACATAGGTCCTGTTTACATGTACACATTGGTGTACACTGCGCAAATAAATAAATAAAATGAAATGGAGTTTAACGTCCTACTGTTCTGCTCCGAACTGGGCTAATGAAGACGGGCATATGCCATGCAGTGTGCCATGAGGGAAATTTTGCCCGGGCAGCAGCACTATGGCTTACTCTTATATCGAATTCCATCTGCCAAGGGATCGTTTACTCACACGCCAATGTATCCACATGGCCTCGGGTTTTCATCCCATCTGAACAACTAGACAGTTGTCCTTGTCAGGCCCTCCGTCCTGCACCACTGACAAGGAGAAACCACGCCAGAAAATCCTGATGAACTTTCTCGGTCAATACAGGGATCGAACACGTGATCTCCAGACTAGTGAGTCAGTGTCTTACCCACCGTGGCTCCCTTACAGCATAACAACAACTCAATAACTCAACGTGTTATAAGATTTAATTGTATTTGATTCTTATCTTTGTTACATATTCTGTATATATTTGCCTATATTTGCCTACTATTCACATACCTGTATATATTTGCCTACTATTCACATACCTGTATCATTTGCTTGATAAAGAGGAGAGTATCCTCGTTGAAACGTCGCTTAGTATTAATCTCAGTAATTGTTAATATGTTCAATTACTAAATGCCAATCAAAGAAAACTCAATAACTTTTTACCACAAGATATATAGTGTATTGTATGTTAAGATATATTTTACGACTTACGTCACTATATGTACACAGTGAACTCTAAAATCACATACAGAATAAACATATAAATAATTCAAAACTTTAATCCTTCACTTATTTAAACTGTACAATCAAAATATATACATGTATGTATAAGTGACAGTACTGGATAATTTTGACTATACCAAATTCCTATTGTAGTAGTTTTACATGTATGTACTGGATAGTACTGACTACACCAAATTCCTATTATAGTAATTGGTATGTAGTGGATAATATGACTATAACCCTTCTATGTGAGAATAATAGGCCTATCTTATAATAATAATAATAGGCCTATTGACTAATAATAATAGGCCTATCTTTTTATAATAATAGGTCTATTGACTAATAATCTATAGTATCAATAATAATAACAAGTTATTATAACATAATAAATCACTTAATGTATTGATACTTGTCAACAACTTGTCAAACATTATTCAACGATACAATAACTTAGTTAAATGGAAAGGAGGTAAAATGAAATGGGGTTCAACGTCCTTCTTATTCTGCCCAGTGTGCTATGAGGGAAATTTTGACCGGACAGCAGTGCTACAGCCTACTTTTATATCGAATTCCAACTGCCAAGGGATCTTTTACGTGCACACCAATGTGTACATGGGAACTAATTTTTTTGGGGTCCCATTAGGACAACTAGGCAGCTGTACTTGTGTACTTGTCAAGCCCTCCATCCTGCATCACTGACAAGGGGAAACCACACAGGAATATTGCGATGAACTTTCTCGGCCAACCCCGTGATCGAACTCCCAACCAGCAGACTAACGAGCTAGCATATTACTCACTAAGCCAAGGTGGCTCACTTTTATGATATACATTATATGCAGGAAACCAATGAGAGGTGACGGAGCAAAACAAATCCTTCCACACACACCCCTGGCTACCACACCTGTGCAGGGACACTTTACCCCTGAATTGCCCTGTAGGACATCGGGAATTGGATTAGGGGCCCAGTGGCACCAATATCAGCCATGCTAACATTAAATATAATAGATATATATGGGCCCCAAAACCATCTGATTAAAATACAGATCTATATTTCGTTTAATTTTTTTATACTTTCGATGGCCTACATGAAGATCTGACCAATTGTACATGTAGCGATAGGTCGTGTCAGAGGTCATGCGAGTGGCTTTTGACCTATGACATCAGACATTTGATTAACCAATCAGCATTGATTATACTAGTGGATTACCCACAGTTCTGTGCAAAACACGCCTAAAGCTCGCCGTAACAGACCGTTTCATTGGCTATTCCCTCACATCATTCAGAACATGTCAATGATAACAACTCTTCATGATCCTAGTGTAGTAAAGACAAGTAAAACAAAATTTTGAACTGAAATAGGATCTGTGTTTTAATCTGATACATGTACAGTATGTATGTCTTGGCACTGCTGTCAATGTACACATATTCCTGTCTATTCATTATCTCTGTTAGTGCAGAAAAATAAGAGAATTAAAATCAATTACAAAGAAATAGGAAATAAATTGCAATCCTCAGGTAATTTCAACCATTATGCTATACGTACACTACACGTACATATACACCTGAAAATAATAGGTAACATAATTAGTCAAGTCATCAATTATTGTCGTCATTTAAGATCACGAAATTCGATAAATAGTATAATTTGTCTAATGAAAGGAAATCTACGTTAAGTAAATGAGATAATAATTACATCTTACTTCCAGACGGTGGCCAATCATCGGATTCTTTAAATGGTAAAATCATCACGATCGTAATCAATTCTACTATTTATACCATTCTGCTCCAACTGGGCTAATGAAGACGGGATACTATATTTAGATATTCAACATGTCACGCTGTGAGTTATAAATTATATACACTACTGTTCTGCTCCGACTGGGCTAATGAAGATAGGATACTATATTTAGATATTGAACATGTCACGCTGTGAGTTATATCCACGTATCCAATCATTAGGATTGCTGGAAGGCATGACCTAATTAGGAAATAACTGAAATATGTTTTAATGTCCTTTTTCTCTGCACCGACTGGGAAGACGGGCAATCGCCATGCAGTGTGTTCGGACATGAAGGAAATTTTGCCCAGACGGCGATGCTCCGACCTACTCTTATTTCGAATTTCAACTGTCAATCCTTCTTTTGCCTGCATGCCATTGTGAACATGGGACCTCGATTTTACATCCCATTCAAACAACTAGACACTATTCCATGGCAGAACCACTGACAAAGGGAAACCATTTACTCACTGAGCCACACAGCCCTAACCTAATTAAGGATAGACAGAATAAATGAAAACTGGGTCAATGAAGACTGGCTTGTACAGTACAGTATAAGTCAAAGTTAAGTACTAAATTCCCCCGATGTCGGACCTGGGCAGAAACAAAAAATCGCGGGCATCAGTTGATCAATCTGCTTTGCCCACTCTTTAAATTCAGTTCTAAATGTCCTCCGTGAATTTGAGTAAATTGCCGACCACAGCAGGCTACAATGTCCAATTCTTATCTGTCACAGCAGTGTCACTGTCAGTTAAAATAACACAATGCAGAGAAATTTGAATTACGAATGTAAGGTCCGGTCACTAAGTTTATTAAAGACGCCTTCCTGCATACAAACAGTGTGAATTACCAATGTAAGTTCTAGCCACTATAAGTTTATTAAAGATGCCTTCCCAGGTACAAACTGTGTGATTTGATGATAAATTTGGACTAAAAACATATTCAGACTAATCCCTCTATCAAAACATTTTAATAAGCTGTAAAAATGTATTGAAAAGCAGTCCTTTTGACATGTGACTTGATTGTGGGAGGGTCCATATTCAGCTTGTATTTGTCGTCACTAGCTGTCCATTTGTCTTCCAGGGAATCCAGTTTTTTTCTAGTAAGATTGATTGTACATGTATCTACTTTCTATTACCATATTTTCTATACTTTTAATGGAAATAACTACCCTATAAATACTTTCAGTTTCATCGTGGGAATGCATCTTTAACCTTACTCTAACCTTGTTTAGTATCTATTAAACTAGAGAGAGAGAGAGAGAAATAGGGTTTAACGTCCACTCGACACAAACTAGGTCATTTCGGGGCTAACATATGGTTTAATCTTATTTCAATAATTCGCTTGCGCGCAGGGGTCTTTAGCAGTGGGAGGAAACCGGAGGACCCAGAGAAAACCCATGAGGTTGGACAGGCGACCCTACTCCTTGTGACGTACAACCACGGATTCGAAACCACGCCAGTCGACTCAATGACAGACTTTATGATACAGCGTGCGCACGCTAACCATTCAGCCATCGAACCCCCCTTCTATTAAACTACCTTAAACATGAGAGACAGAGAGGTGCCAGTGTAAATTGTAAGGGTGTCTCTGGATGGTCAGCATTAACCAAGTGCGTTGTTTTTTTTACATATGTACATGTCTCGTTACATTTTATAATTACTTGACACAGACTAGCGAAGACATAGTGGAAACGTCATTGTCTCGTTTTATATTTTATCATTGCTTTATACAGACTAGTGGAAACGTCTCTCAGTAATTGTATTCCATAGAATTGTAACCTGAGTAATTCATGACATTCTAGCTAATTCGATCAGTTTTATTCTATGTTTTTGTTATAGATTGTAGATCAAGGAAGCAGAAATCAATACTTTGGTAGAATGTTCCACAATGAGTGACAATAGGCTACATACCGTATATGTACATGTATAATGATGTACGTGACTTGCCAGTTCAAATCAGTCAAAAAAGATTGGTTTTCTTTTTTTTTTAAAGCAATGGTAGTTTATCTTCTTGTTCTCCATACTTCTGTGCACCAGGTATAAAGACAGGTCATATAAACCATACTGTGTGCTATGGTGCCATGGTGGTAGAGCGGGGGGATGGGACAGACGTGCTACAACCTACTCTTGTTATAAAATTCAAACTAACAACGGTTCTTTTACATACATGTACATGTACACGCCAAAGTGAGCGTGGGGGATCTCATTTTTTGTCCCATCTAAATGACTAGACACTATTCCTTGTCAAGCCCTCTGTCCTGAACCACTGACAAGGGAAAACCAAGCTGTAAAATCAAGAGATATCTCTCTAGTCAACACTGGGATCGAACCCAGGACGTCTCACTCACTGAGCCACAAAGTTCCTGTGTACTGAGCCAGAGGTAACTCCCACATACAGTATGGTAAACAAAATGGATACTAGTACATAACATAAGATAGGTTGCCAGGCAACAAAACATAGGCCACAGCAGCTAAGTCACCCAAGCAGTCCACAAGGAAAAATCTTTAGCCGCCAATAGAAGCTAATAGCATTCTTCATTTCACTACTTTTAACATAATTGCACATAAAATTTCACTAACAGAAATTGTTGAAATTCAAAAGGTTTTCTCGTTGTCTTGCTATACAAACATAGATTTTAAAAAGACGGTATAAAACCTAGGGTCTGCTCAGTTTAGTGAACTTGAAATTGCTAGTCTGTACATGTGCATGTTCCTGAAGCAACGACTGCGAGTTTCACAACATCTGGCCGTTGCTTGTTTACTTCACAATTCCCAAACTTATAGAGCAGCTATGTTATCTACAGACACATGAGCAGTAGCATCCAATCAGAGGTTGTGACATCGCGACCTCCACGGAAACCTTGACATTGAATGAACCTTGAACTTTGCAACTTGATTATCACAGGTAGACATTTTAGCTTGATGCGCGAGACTTGGTATTCGCGACGATCGAGGAATATGATAGGCTCACAAGTTGGGCTTGTACTTGTACCCAATCGAAATTAGTGCCGCAATATGCAGGGTATTACATGAAGGCCTTGATAAGATGTACGTAGTTAAAGCGAGATCAAGCCTTCTATTGAAGATGGTGATCGGTAGGAGGTTCAGTACATACATGTACTGTACATACACAATCTGGTTAATACACAGAACCTATTTCGTTTCGTTTTTTATAGTTCAAAATTTCGTTTTACTTGTCTTTACTACACTTGGATCTGGAAGAGTTGTTATCATTAACGTGTTCTGAATGGTGTGAGAAATTAGCCAATGAAATGGTCTGTTACGGCGAGCTTTAGGCGTTTTTTGCACAGAACGGTGGGTAATCCACTAGTAACATCAATGCTGATTGGTTAATCAAATGTCTGACATCATAGGGTCAAAAGCCACTCGTATGACCTCTGATGCGACCCATCGCTACAACCGGTCAAATTTTCATGTAGTGTAGGCCATTGAAAGTATAAAAAAGTACATACTGTGTGACTTGATGATATATGTACGTATTTGGACTTAAAAACATATCCAAACTAATTTATCTATCAAACGTTTGCTTCAAAACCATCTCAAAACATCTTAATTAAACAAGAGTACCGCAAGGTGTAAAATTCTATTTTATAGCATAATTGTTTTTCACACGACTTGATTAATAAGGGGAGGTTCCACTTTCACTTTAAGCTTGTACAATTTCTCATTACTCGCTGTCCATTTAACGTAAATATCTGATATTCAAAGCTCATTGATGATTAAATCCAAAAATGGATAATCGAGACTTTAAATATGTTTTTTATCATACCGACTTTAGTAAAGATGATCGAGGCTAGGCCGAAAATTCAATCGCTAATATCTTGGATGAGGGTAGTGCAATTTGACTGAAATTTTCAGCATATTCCCTTTACACAATCTAGATTTTAACTATTATAGTGAGAACTGTCAGCTCTTTGTCTAATTAATCTCCCATAATGTATCTTTAAATAGGTCTAAAAGCACACATTAATGTTATAAGAAAAAGTGATTTATATTCAATTTTTAAAATATTTTTTTTAATTTCTAATCATTTACGTTCAGTGAAATATATGAAGAGTCCAATTTGAACGAACAACATTTGCATCTGCTTAGTCCATTCCAAGCTACAAGCTTTTTTTAATCATTATTTTGTTGTTTGTGAATCAGCCATTTCTACATGTACTTACTTCTGCATTGTCTTACATGATATGTTTTTCTTTGTTCATTACAAATGGCACCCACGACTTGGGGGCACTTATTCTAACATGCCACATGGTCATTGATTGTGTCTTAAAGTAGCTGAGTCTCTAACTCAATATCATCCAAAGTCTTTAACATTGAAAACATGAATTATTTGTCAATTTAAATCAACATTGATGTTGTTATCTTACCGGGAAAATGTACATGTAGGCTTCTGATATCCAATATTTAAGACAAAATAAACATTTTACCATTGGTACACGAATCGTGTACCATAGTGCGTTTCATAGTCATTTTAACAAATGACCAGAAAGGGCGAGGTTAGACATATTCCACAACTCATGTCATACAGCGACGCCGTAACTTATCTGGAGAGCATGCGCAAGACTGGAATAACCAGACGCTAGAAATTTCTATTCGGCTTAGACTCATGCCGTATTTCGCTGGACCTAACTGATTTACATGTAGAGTCGAAACGGAAACAATTGAATGTAAATCAGTTTATATACAATCAGATTACATTATTATATGCGTTGCAACACATTTTGGGTCAATTTCTAGGTTTTAAATATAAGCGATTTAGCTCCTTTAAATTAAATATTGGATAGGAATGAAATGGGGTATAACGTCCTACTGTACATTTTGCTCCTAAACTGGGCTAATGAAGACGGGCATATGCCATACAGTGTGCTATGAGGGAAATTTTGCCCAGGCAGCGGCGCTACGGCCTACTCTTATATCAAATTTCAACTGCCAAGGGATCTTTTACATGCACGCCAATTTGTATCACGGGATCACCTCGGTTTTCTGTCCCATCCAAACGACTAGACAGCTGTCTAGCTCGTCAGGCCCTCCGTCCTGCATCACTGACAAGGGGAAACCACGTCGGAAAATCTGGAGGAACTTTCTCTGCCAATGCAGGAATCGAACACCCTCCAGGCTAGCGAGCCAGTGTCTTACCCACTTAGCCCCGTGATCCCCATATATTGGATAGGATCCCATATTTTCACAGCAAGATAACAACATCAATATTGATTAAAAATGTACCAATATTGAATTCCATTCGAATTTTTAATTTCTATTCTAATATCATGGAAAATACTGAGTTGGAGATTAGCTCCTTTAAATCCAAATTGAACTCGGCATGTCAAAAAGTCAATACAATATTTTCTACGGTTCCATGCATCTCTCTGTTTTAAGTTAATTTACAAAACTTGTATTTACACTGGTTTAAAGTAAATGAAATCGTGGAGTGACCTAAGCCTCATTTATCTATATGTGAATGTGTAATAATTACCTAGCAAGCAACAAAATCCAATAAAACAGTCCTTTCAACCTGCTAATGCTATAACCTGGCCACAACACGTCACGTGACCAAACATTGTCGTCGTAAAAATGTAGTCTCGAATATCCAGAAACCTGACAACCAAGACTATACAACCGGAAGTTCATATTTTCGCGGATTGACTACAAAAAATTGATTTACTAATTTACGTTTCGACTAGGTGAAGAACGCTCAAGGTACGAAGCCGGAACGTTGTCGGAAACTTCTTTTCTGAGCAAGAAATCTCTATCTGGCGATTACTAATCATCATCTACAATCTAGTACTAGTCCTCTACTTGAACCGATTTAGTCCATTTTTCTCTACTCTCAGTGAGTAAGCCTAGAGAGTAGAGTAGTAAAAAGTAGTATTTTCACCGCTGATTTAGAAAATGTGAAAACTAAGCAAGCCTCTTGTTACACAGAAATCAGTTGAGTAGTGGCTCAGTGAGATTTTCGTGGTAGCTCAGTAGCCAGGAGGTATATTGAGTTCGATCACTACCCGTGTTAGCAGAGAAAGTTCCTCAAGATTGAGGGCCAGTTCCGACTAGTCGTTCGGATGGGACAAAAAAAATAATGAGGTCCTGTAGTGTTAGTTCAGTTCTGAACGTAGGTCTCATTACACTCACCCTGTACGTTCAGGGTCTCTTCTATTGAATCATTGTCGAAAAAGAATCGGCCCCCAGTGAATTTTATTGGGCAACTTTTTACTGCTTAACGGTCTCTGTAAATGCCTGAACAATGTAAAGGAACATTTTATTAAGAATATAAGATCTTGCTTAACTCGATAGAGTCAGTATATATGTGCAATACAACATGCTATTAAAAATACGTCCCCTTCTGCTAAACGGCTTGACAGAAGCTATTGAAATCTAAATGTAGGTAAAGCACAAATTTACGTAACTCGGCCATATGACGAAATGAAATTTAGGTAAGCTGGGGGAAAAGAACTCTTGACAGTTAGAATTCAAAATCAGAGTATAGCACACTGTATGGCGTATGCCCGTCTTCATTAGTCGGTAATGTCAAACCCCCTTTCATTCATTCCTAACCACATGGATTTCAAAATGCAGTTTCACTTAATTTGTAAAACAAAAAAATGGACAGTTTCTTCGGTTTCTTCTTTTTTTAAACAGAAATCGATGGATGACTTGAATATTTTTTGTAATGGTGAAACTTTTTTTTTGTTGACATAATTTAGTAAAATGGATGTTCTATCTATTTTCAGTTCAAACAGCAGACAACAATATGGAGATAAAGGATTTTGAGACAAGTTCTGTGACGGCAGATTCAAGTCCAGATTCTGATGATTTAACTAGTGTCACGGAAACCCAGTATGAAATATCCGCAGACAATCTCCTTAAACCGGACACAGGCATTGACTCAAATTCAGATTATGTTCCTGATAATCAGGACAATAGTAAATCTAGACACTGTCGTCCAGACATGTCTTCCCCTTATTGGTATAATGATAAATGTTTTGCAAGATACTGGAGACACTATCATCAAGTCATGGGTTGGTATCAAAAACATTTAAACGTATATAAATCTATGCAGCAGCAATGTTACTCGGACAGTTCCACGTTTCGTCCATATCAAAGTCGCAGACGCAATAATCAACCGAAAGAACACAATCATCATCATCATCATCATCATCGCACCAAAAGACGCAGACGGTCGAAGCATAAAAGTAAGAAGCTGTGTGAATCGGATCGTGAAGCAGGTGAATCAAGTTCAGTGGGTAATCAAGAAGAACCTATGAGTGGTACAGAGGCCGGGGAAGCCGTTGGTACCTCAGAAAAAGAAGAGTTTGAAATGGAGATAACTGACGATATGTTACAGTTCTTTGCTCATTCACAACAACATAGAAAAGAAAGGGGTGAGAATATTATGAGTTAACTCCCTTGGTAAGAAAGGAGCGAGAATGATTTGTGGTTTACCTCCCTTGACTCACTCAGTCACTCTTTTGACCAACCCCAATCCCCAGTGCATGCGCCAAACCAAACTGATCAGCAGTACCTATTCACTATGGCGCCAATTTCACTGATAGCTGATGACATTAGGGCAAGTTAATTAGCTCTCAATATTAACTTGTTTCTTCTGCAAATTAAATTCTAAAACATTTTTTTTAAATTATTAAGAAAATAAATAAAAGTTTTAAAAATAAATGTTTATTAGTTTATATACACGCATCTAGTCATCTATCTATATAAATAAAATGAAAGATGTATGTATATATGGATGTGTTTATGTTCGCCCATCACGCTTCGTTGCCTCGATCCACCCCCACATTAACCAGCATGACCCCATGAATGCTTGAGACCATCGAATTTGGGCCCCGGTGCTCTCCAGCCCCACATGTGGTATCAAATTAACCAGCATGAGCCCATGCATGCTTGAGTCCATAGAATTTGGGCCCCGGTGCTCTCCACCCCAACATGTGGTAACAAATTAACCAGGGGGGTTGGATGGCCGAATGGTTAGCACGTGCGCACTGTATCATAATGTCTGTCATTGAGTCAACTGGCATAGTTTCGATTGCCTGGTTGTATGTGACAAGGAGTAGGATCGTCTGTCCAACTTCGCGGGTTTTCGCCGTGTCCTCCCGTTTCCTCCCACTGCTAAAGACCCCTACGTGCATACCAATTATTGAAATAGAATTGAACCATGTGTTAGTCCTGAAATGACCTAGTTTATGTCAAGTGGATGTTAAACTCCATTTCTCTCTCTCTGTAATTTATTTTATAACTTGGTGATTATTTTAGATATGAAGAAGGATGATGAACTGGAAGATGATAGCAGGTCAAATGTAAGGGTCAATATAGAAGATGGTATGTTTTCTCTCTAACTCTTAAAAATATAATCAAAATATCATGGTCAGCTGTTAATCATGTAAATTACATATTTGGAAAATAATTTCTGAAATAATATTGTCCTACTGTTCTGATCTGACTGGGCTAATGACGACAGGCATACACCATACAGTGTGCTATGGCCTACTGCCAAGGGATCTTTTACGTGCACCCCAATGTGTACACAGGACCATGTTTTTTTTTGTCACATCCGAATGACTAGACAGCTGTTCGTGTCAGGCCCTCTGTCTGTAATCACGCAGGAAAATCCTGATGAACTCTCTGGGTCAACACCGGGAGCAAACCTGCGACCTCCAGACTAGCGATCCAGCGAGGATATTCTATTGAACGTTTGAGAATTAAATTCTCTCAATTCCGAAAATAGTGTCAATCAAGTGAAAAGAAGAGTGTCGGAGTACAACGCATAACAAAAATATCTCAAAAGATATTTGTTACTTAAAATACGTCACAATTCTACTCACACAACCTCAGCTGTCGGGACTGGTAGAACTGTGACAGGACTGAATTCCGCATCACTCGATTGCAATTCTGTCAATTCGGGACGTTCCCTAAGTCTTACTCACTTGGCCAGTCATACTAGGAGGATCAAATCTGAAAACATAGCCTTGCTAAACAATGGATATACATAATGTATGCCCAGTCGCCCAACACTACCTGTAGTGAGGGTTTTTTGTCCCCCGCCTTTCGAAGAAAGCAGGGGACTATTAAAATGGGTTCGTCCGTCTGTCTGTCCGTCTGTCTGTCCGTCACACTTTTTGGGACACAATAACTCTCTTCCTAATTGAGCTAGAATGTTCAAACTTGGTGTATGTGTTTATTAGGTCAATGCCTTGATGGAGTTCGAAGATGAGCATTTTCCGCTTAGGGTAAGCAGAGATAAGCAATTTGATTGGTTGATGCTTTGGGACACGATAACTCTCTTCCTAATTGGGCTAGAATGTTCAAACTTGGTGTATGTGTTGATTAGGTCAATGCCTTGATGGAGTTCGAAGATGAGCATTTTCCGCTTAGGGTAAGCAGAGATAAGCAATTTGATTGGTTGATGCTTTGGGACACAATAACTTTTAATTGAGCTAGAATGTTCAAACTTGGTGTATGTGTTTATTAGGTCAATGCCTTGATGGAGTTTGAAGATGAGCATTTTCCGCTTAGGGTAAGCAGAGATAAGCAATTTGATTGGTTGATACTTTGGGGCACGATAACTCTCTTCCTAATTGAGCTAGAATTTTCAAACTTGGTGTATGTGTTGATTAGGTCAATGCCTTGATGGAGTTCGAAGATGAGCATTTTCCGCTTAGGGTAAGCAGAGATAAGCAATTTGATTGGTTGATGCTTTGGGACACGATAACTCTAGTTCTAATTAAGTGAGATTGATGAAACTTGGTGTATAGTTTCATTACAGTAATACCTTGACTAAGTTTGATAATGAGCATTTTCTGCTCAGGGTAAGCAGCAATTTGATTGGTTGATACTTTGGGGCACGATAACTCTCTTCCTAATTGAGCTAGAATGTTCAAACTTGGTGTATGTGTTGATTAGGTCAATGCCTTGATGGAGTTCGAAGATGAGCATTTTCCGCTTAGGGTAAGCAGAGATAAGCAATTTGATTGGTTGATGCTTTGGGACACGATAACTTTAGTTCTAATTAAGTGAGATTGATGAAACTTGGTGTATAGTTTCATTACAGTAGCCTTGACTAAGTTTGATAATGAGAATTTTCTGCTTTCGGTAAGCATAGCGATACGCAATTTGATTGGTCGAGACTTTGGAAAACAATAACTCTCCTACTTTGATTGTTAGACTATAAGTAAAGATATACTGTTTGATTGTTCAATACTTTGTAAAAGATAATTTGTGATAAATTTATATGTGTCCTCTAATTATTTTCCTATTTCGGCGGGGGACATCAGCCTCACTGTTGGCTTGTTTCATCTTGGGACTGACATATTATCTTTGTTTCAATAATTTGTTTGCTTGCAAGAGTCTTTTGGAAGTGACAAGAAAGTGCAGGAACCAAAATCTTCCTCAGACACAAAGCTGTGATTGAGAGAGAGAGGTCTTTATCAGCGGAAGGAAACCGGAGGATCCGGAGAAGACACACGAGGTTGGACAGGTGACCCTATTCCTTGTCACATACAACCGGGGAATCGAAACCACGCCAGTTGACTCAATGACAGACCTCATGATACACTGCGCACACGCTAACCATTCGGTCCTCAAACCCCCACCCCCCCACCGAATAATAGACTACTTGTTTCAATATGTTTCCTGCAGATGATAAGCCAATCAGTAATTCTGTTAAAAATCATTGCACGACTCTGAGTTTTGCTAGGATTCCTCTTTATGAATCACCCCACCTTATCAATAAGTTTGTTACAAAAAAAACTGGGGTTTGGGTGGCTGAATGGTCAAACGCATACACTTTATATCATCAGATCTGTGAACTTTCATTGAATCGGCTGTACTTGGCCTGTCCAACCTCGTGGGTTTTCTCTGGGTGCTTCAGTTTCTTCCCACTGTTAAAGATGGGTTCCCAGAAAAGTATTTATCAGGTGGTTAGTTCCAATAAAAGTATGGTAATTTTGGTATATACATGTATGGAAAGTAGAAATAGCCAATCTTACTAGACAAATACTGGATTCCCTGAAAAACACTCATGGAGTGAATATAGGACAAAAATGTAAGGGTTCCCCTAATCAACAGCCCTACGATTAGGAATTTCTGCATGCGTGATGTCAAAGGTCACCCACGAATATTGAGTGCTTGATGTACAAGTTGATAAACTTTATGAAGAGTTAGAAGTACAACACTTTCTGAGATAAAAATGACGAAAAAAGACGTGGGTAGTGGATAATCTGAGAATTTAATTAGGATTCGATATTTGTAATAAATAGTAAGCGATTAAAGACAACATCGTCTTATGAATGAATGAATTCTCCTCTGACTTCCAATAGAGGTAAGTCACGTGACGTGATGTAAACATGACCTGGTTTGATCAAATTTTTATAGGACATTCCTTCGCAAATACAATGTTTGAGAAGGATTTGAAGCAAAGTTATGACAAATTAATTAGTTTGAATGTTTTTAGTCCATATATACCATTAAATCACCCAGTTTGTACACTGGAACCCATCTTTAAACACCTCTAAGCGAATTATTGATAAAATTATTGAACCATACAAATGTATATTCGTAGGGAAATGACCTAGTTTGTGTCAATTTGCCCTTAAACCCCGTCTCTCTCTCTTTTCTCTCTCTCTTTTTTTCTTTGATTTACAAGGTTTCGGTAACAGGGGCAGTAATTCTATTATTAAATGTAATTTTCATCATTTCTTCATTTTTTATAACTTCAGTCCACAAACAGATGCCAACAGTTGAAGCCCCGAAGGAACGACCTGGAGTGAGACGAACAGCGGAGATGAAGATGTTGTATGGTAAAGGTGCTGCTATGATTCATGGGATGGAAACCGCATTACAAATGACCTACGATAGAAACATTGACGTCCAACAACCTAAAGTGTGGCCTAATATTCCGTTACGTATAACATTCGCGGACTGATAAGCCAGCTCATAATCAATCTTCAGGCAGATCGTGGATCGGATGGAAAAACAGGGGGTGCAGGAAAAGCCATCAGTTTTAATACCAATGAAGAAGTTGTAGTGTCATGTAGCTAATGCTAGGTTCCCACTGTCGTGTGATATGTTACAATAGGAATGTCCCTATCAGAGGTCGCAGTCACGCAAAAATCTGCACATTTCATTCATTTTTTTCAAAATAAACGCAAATATTGGCGGACGCTGCGTAATTTACACGCAGAAAATTTCCCCGACGTGAGAATAATTGGATTATTCTATGTCGTAATTTGTACAATTTATGTGCCTCACACGGCATTTACACACCTCTACTGCACGTAGTCTCCGTAGTTTTTTATATTTCCTCTTATTTCATTCATAAGTTCATGGCAGTAAACCTATGTAACTATCCTATTGGAAGCAATAAAGCGCATTTCATACAAGACTTGGGATTGGCTAGAACACGATATACTGTTTACATTCAGCCAATCAAATGTTGACTTTCATAGCGATAGTTTTCTCTTTACGTCCTGTCGAAGTGAAAGATTGAAATGACTGTGCCGTCAACCATAAACATGCCGTTAACCTCCAGTTGTCATTAGACTAAATACAGTAGGCATATCAATGAAATAAGGACGCTTCAAATAGGGTTGTTCACAAAAGGACTTTACATGCTTCTATATTGAGTATTTTGAGAGGCTCTAAGTCACGCAGATGTAGAGGGCAAAAACGCAAAATTTTGGAATGTCTGCGCTGGTCCCTATTGGGTCCACGATGCAGATACGTTTCGATACGATCGACACGACTGACCTCAATATATGAAAAGATCTGATAGGATCACCATACGATTATAACCACAATTTCAATCGTAGTGCGAATTGTGATAGTGATAACCTAGCATAAGCCAGGAAAGTGGACATCTTCGATGGACAGTGTCTGATACAAATTTGTATTTTTTTTCAGTATACTGCACAAAGTTAAGAAATGTCTGCTATTTCAGTGTATATACATGTATATTATAGACTTCAATAAATTCCTGATTTCTAAGCTTGTGTGTGGCTCTAGTTATTCAATCATATTTGAAAAATATACTGAACGCCATGGAAAACGCATCACTTAGTTTTTCGTATAACAAAATGATCCTGTAAACATATCTTATTTATTTTGGTTCTTATTGTGAACAATATTCAAATGGGAACACATCAATAACAACACATTTGTACACTTATGGATGTTTAATCTGTTTAAAAGTATGACACAGATGCCAGTAGCGCGTGTGTCCTCCACGGGCTCTTACGCACGCTGTGCAGCGAGGTCGCATGGAATTTACCAATGTGTGAAAGAAGGCCTGGGGCAAATTGTTCCATTCTTGGACAAGAGCAGCTTCTAAAGCAGCAATGGTGTGCATCTGTGGTCTTGGATACAGACGGCGTCTAATCTCATCCCAGACATGTTCTATCGGTTGTTATGTTGTTAGCAGCCAGGTAGTCGATACTAGAAAGGGCGCTATGCGGGTGTGCATTATCCTGTTGGAAGTGCTGAAGTTGTGGGTGCGCTCTTAACATCGGAACAACAATTGGTTGCAAGACATCATCACCGTAGGCTACAGCATTAACGCTACCCCTGCAAATGTGTAGGGCGGTCCGGTGATGAAATGTGAATCCTCCCCACACCATTACATTTCCCCCACCCCAAGACGTCTCCACACACGTTGACGGCCATCAGCGTGATAAAGATGAAAGCGACTCTCATCACTGAAGAGCACACTTTGCCGGTCTACTCTTCTCCATATCTGGTGTCCTTGAGCCCATATCAAACGCTGCTGACGGTGATGATCCCCGAGGATAGCTCCAACATAAGGTCGTTGTGCACGGAGTCCTACTTCTCTTAGACGACGTCTTACGGTGTTGGCACTTTCTGGCCCTTGTCTTCCGACGACTGCTGCACCTCTTCGAGTCACTGGGCGGAATCTGTCATGCAGATGAGTGACCCGGATGTAGCGGTCTTGGGCCAGGGTTGTAACGCGTTGTGGACCAGGACGTTGACGGTCATGTGTTGATCCAGTAACTCGAACACGTTCCACCAACCTTACAATAGTGGACTGATGACTATTGAAGTACGTGTAGACATGCCAGCCCTGGACATTCCCATGGCTTCATTCCGTTGATTTTCAGTAAGTCTCGACATCTCTAGCTCGATTCCTTCGCACATCCAACAACAAATTACGACAGATTGACGTTTCACAGTTCATGTACTGCACATTAAGTTGAAAACATGCTTTTAAAGGGCTCACACACAATGTTGCATATGAATATTGGGTTTTTCATGTGCATCTCGTGCAATTTATTTTTGCACACGGGCCGATATTTTTTGCGTTTGGGAGCATTGTGTGAAACAATAGCTCATAGTATTGCATAATATTATACATACAAAACCACTTAGTAAAAAAATATTTGGGAAAAAAAGTGATGCGTTTTCCATGGCACTCAGTATATAAGTCTCTGTCCTTGACTGTACATCTCAGTGGTCATTAATGGCTGGCCCTGCCCTCGAATCCATTCATTTGAACCGATATATGCGTTTGTTGTTCATTGCTAAGTGGATAAGACACTGGCTCGTTAGCCTGAAGGTCACATGTTCGATCACTGCATTGGCCGAGAAATTTCCTCAGGATTTTCCGGTGTGGTTTCCCCTTATCATTGATGCAGGATGAAGGGCCCGACAAGGACAGCTTTCTAGTCGTTCGGATGGGTTAAAAAACTGAGGTCCTGTGTATACACTGGCATGCACATAAAAGACCTCTTGGCAGTTGGAATTCGATATAACAGTTGGCCATAGTGCCGCTGCCCGGGCAAAATTTCCCTTGTAGCACACTGTATGGCATATGCCCATCTTCATTAGCCCAGTCGAAGCAGAATAGTAGGACGTTAAACTTCATTACATGTCTACAGATGTAATAATATTGCTAGAATTTTTGCTCTTGAAATGAGATGCCTTTATATTTCATTAATTAATATCTTTGGCAAGTTAGTAATTTCAAACATATTCACATATATAGTGTGCACTAAATCAACTTAGTCTGTAATTGACCATTGACACATAAAAAAGAGTTATTTATCGAAAACATATGTCACTCATTTACCACCAGAATTACAGGTGAGTGGAATTATTCTAATTGCATCATTTGATTTAAAGTAACCAATCATTTTGTTAATTACACAAGTTCAGGGCCATGATCACGCTTTATGGTGCATGATATTCATTTACCTTTAAAAGAAACCGGGGAAACCTGTAAGTCAGACTTGCATTAGATTCCAGAGATCGAGGGTACATCTGAGTTCCTAGACAGCCGAGAGGCTGGTTAGGGTGGAGAAGTGGTTTTAGCTATATAGTATTGTAATTTGTGCTATGCTTGTATACCTGTATTCAGTTATATGCTATATAAAATGTAGAAGCTAACTATGCATTATTATTCCTGGTAAGATAAACGTCTTAAGAAACTGGAAGAAGTAAATACACAACGTGAAGCAGAAGTAAAGACAGCTAGAAACAAATTCTAGACGATCACAAGGCTACAGAAATATGTAGTAAGAATAGATGCATGGGTCGTATGTAGGATGTGGCGACCGGTTTTCTCGCCCGCTCTCCACGTCAGACAGAAAGACTTGTCTTATGGAATTTGTGTTTTATGGTCATAGTGCTGTCTTCTTGCAATTACTATTGAAGATATATTATTTAACAAAGTTTTTATTTGTCTTTATTTCATCAGGTGGTTTTATGTTTTACGTACATATATACAGAAAGTAGAAAATAATAACAAAACTATGATAAATATATTTAACATGAAAACACAATCACAGATAAAAATAATCATTCTAAAACACATTGATAATACCACAAGAACTCTTGATGATGAAACAAATTGTTCTACAACATATCCGATATTCCATCAAGTTCATTTGATAGCACGAAAGTATGTAGCTTAGACATGACCTAAAAGCCAAGTCAGGTGATCACAGAAACCAGGGACCATTTTTTAAAGAAATTCTGCCCTTCCATTGGCCAACAGCTAAATTTTTTACAAGTATTTTAACGCTCAACCAATGAAATGGCTGTATCCTTAAATTGTTTTGTGAATAAGGCTTCAGACATTTATAATAATAATATGCTAGCCCCGATTTCACAAAGCATTCTCAGACTTAAGTTAAGAATTTAACTAAAATATAGCTCTCTATAAAACTTTTGTTGTTTTAATGTATCAATTACATCAATAAGAAACTATGTGCAAAGTTTTGTGTTTCCGGATCAATGATATTTCTCATAAACAGTGATTGAAAGTAAATTCTTAGCTGAAGTCTGAGAATTCTTTGTGAAACCTGTGCCTGATTTTAGTATCCTTGAATAGGTTAATTATACAAGGCCCCAGATATTTATAATATAAAAGATAATAATATTAGTTAATATCCCTGTATAGGTAAATTATAGAAAGCTGATTTATCAACTTGGTTGACATCTATTTCTTTAAACTGTACACTGGATTCTCTTGCAATATTATCTACATCACCATTAACTGAAATAAATCCATTGATAGTTATAACTTAACATTAAATCAAATAAATCCTATCTGAATGACCAGAAACTGATTCTCACCAGGTGAGTGAGACGATGGATCGCTAGCCTGGAGGTCCTGTGTTCGATCCCTGCATTGGCCGAGAAAGTTCATTGGGATTTGCCGATGTGGTTTCTCCTTTTCAGGTGACAAGAACAGCTGTCTAGTCGTTTGGATGTGACGAAAAACTGAGGACCAGTGTACACATTTGCATACACGTAAATGATCCCTTGGCAGCTGGTATTCGATATAAGAGTAGGCCGTAGTTTCACTGTCCGGGAAAAATTTCGATCATAGCACACTGTATGGTATATGCCCGTCTTCATTAGCCCATTTCGGAGCAGAACAGTAGGACGTTAAACCCCATTTCATTTCATTTCATGTAATCCAGTTGACATTAAATGTATGGAATAAAAAAAAAGGACTCGAACCACCCTTACCTTGTTCTCTCGCTACTGGAGACTCATTATCTTCGTTGTAATCACTGATGGCTGTGGCTGTATTTTGTGGTGGAGGACGACGGATACACAGTTGACCTGGGGAAGGCTTCATGTGAAATCTGTCTGGATAATCTTCTCTCTGTTCTCTCCTATGATCAACGTGATCGTTTATAATTTTTTGGGCCTTGTAAAAATAAAAATTAAAAAATGTTTATTTACATAAAACCTTCTCTTTCTAAAACTGATCATTTTAAAAAGTAAATGTATAGTTATAATAGATTACAGTTTCTTAAAGAATCAGGTTATATTTCAAACAAGGGAGGTAATGGGATTTAGCATTGTCTCTTCAACACAATCAATGATCATTTTGAGACTAAACTATGGTTATTTTATTTGATCGGGTGCACAATGCCAGAGAGAGAGAGAGTGACCTAGGTCATTTCGGGACTAACATGGTTCAATAATTCACTTGCGCGTAAGGGTCTTCAGCAGATCGAGGAAACCAGAGGACCCAGAGAAAACCCACGAGGTTGGACAGGCAACCCTTCTCCTTGTCACATACAAGCAGGGAATCGAAATCATGCCAATTGACTCAATGACAGACCTTATGATCCAACGCACTAGCGTTAAACCATTCAGCCATCCAACCCTAGACAACACCTGACGTATCTGTCCATGAGACGCTACCCCTGTACAATAGGAATTGTGTTTCGAAAAATCCTGTGGTTATACTCGTTAAAAATCAATTCATATTTGTCAAGACAGTGTCACGAAAGCTATCTAAAGCAATGAATATGCATCGGACTTGGCATTTGGCATATAATAATACGTTTACGCTTAGGGGTCTTTACCAGTGGGAGGAAACCAGAGGACCTAGGTTTGACAGGCAACACTTCTCTTTTGTTCACAAGCGAGGAATCAAAACCACACCACTTGACTCAATGACAGACCTTATGATCGAAAGTGCATGCGTGAGATCACATGAGCACCAAGCCCCCAAACAATAACAGACCTATTATCTAAAGCACATGTGTTAACCCATTCGGCCATCCAACCCCCCTGGTATAGAAGGGACAATATTTAAGGCTTACCTTTTGTGCATTGAGTATAAGGTTCTGATCTGCCATGATTTCTGTAATACGAAGGTTATTTTTAATGGCTTTTGATGCGGTTGATCTGGCATGAAGGGGTAATTTGACCTGATACGCATCATCGGTAAATTCTGTTTTTGGTAAATCATCTTTTTGTAATTTTCTCACTCTGAAAAAAAAATAAAAAACAACAGTGTATTGATCCTGGCTGATGATATTGTAAATTTCTTTCCATGAAGCAAATAATTCTATGTTATGACATGTGTCATGCTGAATGCAGAATATGCTTGGAACAATGTGAACACTGAACACCTTAAACAATAAATTGTCAACAAAGTGTTGTTACCCCAGTTGGTGCGGAACAGTAAAACCCCCATTTCATTGTTACATCAGAAACTGTGGCCTAAGATTTTATGCTATTTATCCATCTATGGAAAACCTGTCTCTGGTGTACAGGAGAGAGAGAAAGAGAGAGGGGTGGATTTTAACGTCCACTCGACACAAAATATATCATTTCGAGACTAACATAAGGTTTTATTTCAATAATTCGCATACGTGTAGCTGTCTTTAGCAGTGGGAGTAAAGCGGTGATCCTACTCCTCGTCACCTACGGCTACAAGCTGGGAATCGAAACCACATCACTTGACTCTTATGATCTAAGGCGAGCATGTTAGACCATTCGCTCCCCCCACCCCCCCGGCCAACCCACACTTCTGTTCTGTATGGAATTATGTATTTAACTGGGAACTTACTGCCTGTTTGTTAGTATTTCATAAATTCGTTCTATTAATAGAGTTGATGCCCCTTCCTTACAGTGTATTGTACCCTCTATATATTCACATGGTATGTCTATCCTTCGTCTTTTAAAAAACTGAAAAATAAAAATCATTATTTTAATAACCAAATTATATCAAAGATATGATCACCGCTGCATACAAATACACAGATAAACAATTTCTGCATCAATCAACCAACAGTGAATTCTTGAAATCACTAAAAGATCTTTGTGCCTGAACTCCCTCTCCTTCTTGGTTGGAGGAAGATGTCATTTATTAATATAAATATGAGCATAATGATAAATGACTGTACAAATAGTAAGCTACAGTAATAACATGTTGTTTAGCTTAACAAGATGACAAAATATGGCCAAATAAATTGATGTCCGAAAAAGGGCAATCTGATTAAAACACAGATCCTATTTCATTTCATTTTTTATAGTTTTTTAGCAATGGGAGTAAATCAGAGGACCCAGAGAAAACACACGAGGTTGGATGGGCGATCCTACTCCTTGTCACGTACAACCGGGGAATAAAAACCACGCCAGCTGACTCAATGGCAGACCTTATGATACAATGGACACGTGTTAACCATTAGGCCACCATCCTTAATTTTACTTAGACTTTAGACTCTTCTAACCATAAAAATAATATTTCATCTACAATACTACAAATGCTCAAACCAAATTGTGGACTTAAAACTTATAAACCGCTTTGGCAAGAGAAAATGCATGAAATGGCCATACTATACTTACATTTTTTAAAAGAGTCCAATTTTTCATTTTTGGATCTAATGATGTGCTATCGTAATAAGAGTGCATTTGAATGTCTTGTGGAAAATACCATGAAAATATCTCTGCTACCAAAAATCCACTTGTTAAATCCCTGAAATCAAAATAAGAAAACATTATATAAAGTAAGGGCAATTCCGTGGCAGAAAATGAAAATTGCAAAAGAAAAGAAAATCCATATTTGAACCAATTTTGTGTTGTGTCTAAGTTACTTAGTAAAGTAAATTTTGGTCCATTTCTTTTTTTAACGTTTAATCGCAAAGTCTGCTGTACCATTCGATAAATAGTATTAGTATTACACCATTCGGAAACGGATGGAGTTTATATACATTGCATTCATATTACAGGCCTATTATTAATGAAAATGATAGTGACCCCTTTAATTTCTAAAAATAACCTGCCTATCTATGTCTTTTATTTTGTAAAATATCAAAAAGCCCACAGTGTGATTGTTACGCCTTAGCCCTAGGCCTACCCTACGACTTTTATTTCTAAAAATACTCACCATTTCGGTGTTTTTATCTGCCACGTTAGATCTAGACTTTGAAGCCATTTTACCAACTCTCTACTTAATCCTGACATTGTTAAAATAAAAATATCTATCAGCTAACTTGGTGTTTCTTGGGTAAATAATTGAAATGATGAAGTAAACAAAAATAAACCTAAAATTATGTTAAAACGGAAGTTGTATAGGTTGCCATTGACAGCGTGATCGGAGCGCACTAAATGAAAAGTCACCTTACGATTGGCCAAAACTATGACGAATAAAATACGGCCCACCAATACATGGATCACGGCAATCACCGTACTCAGATTTTGCCAGCTGGTGGGTTAATAATAATAATAATAATAATAATCATAATGATAATGACTTTATTTGAGAAGGGTTGAAGATTAGGCTAAATAGTCTTTCTAACACCCTGCCCTTTGTAGAAAATATAACACAGAAGGTCAAAATAAAGATATAGCTAATAAATTAAATTACACACCACAATAATTTACAATAGAGGAAAATAAATAAATATATAAATTAGTTAAAAGAAGTAGCTAAGTCTCTAACTCAATATCGTCCAAAATCTTCGACATTGAAAACACGATTTATTTGTCGGTTTAAATCAACATTGATGTTGTGATCTTACCGGGAAAAGATTGACTTCTGATATCCAATATTTAAGACAAAATAAACATTTTACAATTGGTACACGAATCGTGTACCATAATGCGTTGCAGCGCTATTTGTAATAAGGGACTCGAAAAAACGAGGCTAGGCATATTCCACAAGTCATGTCAAACGGTGACGCTATATTCTTATCTGGATAGCATGCCCAATAAATACTATCGGCGTAGACTGGAATAACCAGACGGTAGGGATTGAAATTCGATTGAGAATACTGGCGTGTTTCGCCGAATCCAACTGATTAGAAATTACAGTAAAAACAGAAAAGATTGAATGTAAATCAATTTATATACATTCATATTACATTATTGTATCCGTTGCGACCCATTTGTGTCAATTTCTAGGTCCCAAATATTAGCGACTTAGCTCCTTGAAGTACATGTATATGTGGGTCATATAACAGAAAGTTTGAATACATATAGATATAACATGTATTAACAAATATACAATATGTACATGCTTATAATATGGAGATAACATATATCATAAGAGATAAGCTTATAGGTTTTTAAGATAAGATATTTGAAGTAGATTTAATGTAAAGAAGCAGTTTTTTCCTGAAAAAATTCAAGTTATTTAAAGTTTTTAAAGTGGCTGGCAATGAATTCCACAGTTTGGGCTCTTTAAAGCGTATACTGCTTTTAACTATATTAATATTTCACCGCCGCATGAATAGGGAATTCAAAAAAAAATATATTGTTAGGTTTTACTCGCGTGCTTACATATATTTAATGCTATTTTGACACGGGCGTAGTGATATTATTTTTTTTTTTTAAATAAGACCCCCCCCCCCCCAAAAAAAAAAAACCGAAGAAGAAAAAAAGAATTCGTGTCTGTTCTATTTACTTAGTTTTGTATATCAGCCCAGGGTTTATTTAAGCTTCTACTCCAATTACCTGATTATTATCTTGATATCAATGAAAGGTCTTTATATACCTGACACAGAATTCTGTTTATAATAAGTCAGAGTTAATCCCCCTTTTCATATTTTTCGCCATTTTTAAGTTGTGTTTTGAAATCGTCCATAATAGAGATGAATACCCGAGTCGTTCATCCATACATTCTGTAAAACTCGTTTGAAATTTCAGTTCATATTAAAGTTATTACTTAAATTGGTACTGCTTTTAAAGGGAGAATCTTTTATAGAGGCTACCATTAATTTTAAAAAGCAACGCGTCTTTGTAATTGGACTTACTGGAGGCGTGCGGGAGTGGCCGATTGATAATATAACTAGAGTGGGATTGAAAGTGTGTGAAATAGCTTTATTTAACGTCCGCTTCCACCGAGGTTATATCGCAGACAAAGGGATTGAAAGAGTGGTCCAAGTCTCTTAAGTGTTCACGTCACCACCTGAGTTCCATTCTATGCACTCGACAAACCTTAGCAGATTCCAGTACCTAACGGGATCTGCCGAGGTTTGCCGAGTGAATTCTATGGTTACGTATGTGATGCTAATGGGGGGCGGGGGGCGGAATTTAGACCGGGCAGCGGGGATAATTCTAAGTAGGAGGACATCTTTGACGTTCACTATCGGTGTGGATATCTGGTTTCCTTTATAACAAAAACAGCCCTACTTATGTTGGTTATCAGAAATGAAATGGGGTTTAAAGTCCCGCTGTCTTGCTCCTACTGATGGGTTATCAGGCTAGGAAAGTAACACGTACGTTAACTTTATTTCAGTTTATTTCTCAAAACAACCCGATTTTCACTCAATGTTCAAGGTCAATTGGTTTTATTTCTATCGTTGATAAAAAGAAGATTTTGTTTAAGCCTATTGAAAGCGATCACTACACGCTTCCCTGGTCAGATAAATAATGTCAGTTAATCATCAATTTATAAAAATTGAAAGTAGATAACGATCATAAATATAATTTATTTGCACTATAAGGACCTTAAAGTTGTTATTTGAGCAAGTAGCCACGCTGATAGATATACATAGAATATGAAATTATGGACAGCGAGTGGGGTTTTGTTTTTCTTCTATTAGAGAGCGCAGCAGGGGTGGATTATATATCGGGGGGTGATTTTGGAAACGTGTTACAAGATCACATGTTGGGGGGGGGGGGGGAGCAAAAACCGAATAGCATTTAAAAACCGGATAGAAATTCGATTTAGAGAAGGGGGGGGGGGGTCGAATGGTTCAACGCGTGCGATTTAGATCACAAGGACTGTAATTATGTCAAGTGAGGAATCCCAGCTTGTAGGTGACAAGGGGTGGTGTCGTCAGCCCAACATGGCTTTCTCCAGGTCCTCCGGCTTCCTCCCACTAGATCCCGATGACCCCCATGCACAAGTGAACTATTGCAATAAAATCGTACCATATGTTAGTCACGAAATGATCTAGTTTGTTTTGTGTCGAGTGGACGTTACCTTCCCCGCCCCTCCCCCCCCCCCTCTCTCTCTCTATCAAAAGGGGTGATAATCATAGGCGTACGGGCTCGATGACAGTTAGGGGGGCAGAACCCGAAATGCCCGAAAGAATTTCGGGTTTACAGACAGCGGCGTTGGTCTTCCTCGAGAAGCGAAGCTGCAAACACGTTTTCCTGCTATTTCAGTCATTGAACAAAGTGGTCTATTATAGCCTAATTAAGATGACTGACTCGAATTCCAATCAAAAGATCAATCGTTTACAGTCCACGAAGACGGGACCGTTGGCAGAAAATTTTGAAAATTTAACTGCCGCAAACGCGTTTTCCTGCTATTCCAGCCTGTGAATACAGCAACTTCAATTTGGTCCAATATAGCCCACCTGGCTGACCCGAATTCCAAACAACCAATCAATCGTCGCGGAGTATGGAGGCCTCACCCTCCCGGAGAAAATTTTGAAAATTTAACCACCCCATATGCGTTTTCTGCTATTCTAGCCCGTGTAAGCAACTCCAACAGTATCCAATGGTTTTGTAACCTAAATCCCATTTTGAATTCCAACCATTCAATCAGACTGTTGCAGCTGCATTCACAAATAATAATCGATGCCCGAAAAATGTCGCACAAAGTAGAGTGGCTCCAGACAAAATGTTTTAATCCAAAGTCAACTCAGTACAAATTCGTGGTATTCAATTAAAAGATAAGTAAAATTAGTGTTTTATTAGGGCTCGTTGACAGGGAAGCAAAACTAGAAATGCCCAAAAAAATTTCAGCTTTAAAGACAGCGGCGCCGGTTTTCTTCGAGAGGCGAAGAAGCGGAGCTGACCTTGTAAGGACCCCCCCCCCCCCAAGAAAATTTTTGGAATATTTGACGGCTGCAAACGCGTTTTACTGCTATTCCAGCCCGTAAAATTAGTGTTTTATTAGATTTCGGACACTTTATTTTGCCAAGTAGATGAAATATAATTTTTTTTTTCACTTTACCCGTCTGCCCGAAAAGTCAGCTTGCCCGAAAGTTAGGGGGGGGCAGCTGCCCCCCCCCCGGCTCGTACGCCTATGGTGATAATCCTAATGAACGCTTAAGACATTGTACAGTAATTCCACACCTGAAATATCTTCGATAGAAAAAATAATAACATACAATTTGTTTCTTTTGAGCAATTTTACAAGTGGTAAAGAAAGTATCTGTGATTTTACTCCGTGTCCTTCTATCTAAGTATTCAGTATTCTTCAATAGCTTGTTAATAAAGTACCAACAACCTCTCTACTATATACATGCCTTACAATATTCTCCCTCTGTTTAAATATCTTATAATAAAAACTCGCTTGATTTAATAAAGTGACCGCTGACAAGTGGGTGTTTTGTCATGCTATGACGATTTTATTATTTGAAACCTATGATGAATATATAAACCAGATGTTTTTATTTGAAAGGAAGGTGAAAGGGTGTGAATAGAGACCTAATCATGTATATATTGTAAGAATTATTATATTTAGAGATGATGGATCAAATCTGGTTATTATTATTAAGCGTAAGGAATTCAACTATTGTTGCTGGGAGATTTGCTGAGTAATGAAAGGAAATGGTTATTAACGTCATACTTTCTTTTTTACACCCACCGGGACAATGCATACAACACACGCCATGCATTGTGCTTTAGAGGGCCGTGGGAGCGGGGGTATTTTGGCCTGGACAGCGGCGGTTTCACCTACTGTTTCATCGAATTCCAACTACGAAGAGTTCTTTAAGATGTACGCTCGGGGTTGGATGGCCGAATGGTTAGCGCGTGCGCGTTGTATCATAAGGTCTGTCATTGAGTCAACTGGCATGGTTTCGATTCCCCGGTTGTACGTGACAAGGAGTAGGTTGCCTGTTCAACCTCGTGGGTTTTCCCCGGGTCCTCGAGTTTCCTCCCACTGCTAAAGACCCCTACGCACAAGCGAATTATTGAAATAAAATTAAACCATATGTTAGTCCCGAAATGACCTAGTTTGTGTCGAGTGGATTTAAACCCCAATTCTCTCTCTCTCTCTCTCTATTTGAAGGTTCCGGAGAATAGAGCTGTGGGCCCTTTAACTATTTAAAAATTGTTAAAATAAAAAGATTCTGCCCCATCCCATATTGTGATCTCACAAGTGTATAAACCATAACAAAAATGAA